AAATAGATTTTATTATCATATGACACAAATACCATGTTCTGAATTAATACATAAGATACTTCGTTGTCCTGGTAATTTGTGGTCATGGGTTCAGCTGAAATATTATTAGTTCTAATATTTTATATTATTCTAATTTTAAAGAGTAGGTATTGGGAGAAGTAGGAGATAGAAGGAGGAGAACACTAAAGGAAATTCAATTATTTAAAAAAATGCTAGATGGTCTTTCGTGCAGACCTAGTTTCAGAAAAAATATTTTTACGCCAAGAAGAGTTCTAACAAAATAAAAAAAATACAATTGATGGCTCGCGAACAAAACTGCAGGTAAAGTTAGTACAAATTAAAAATCTATACCTACATATAACAAAATTGTAATTGAGTCGAATCTGTACATTATATATTTTTGGAAAATCTTATTGAATTATTATCGATACAGAGGCCGAATCTATAGTTTTTAGAATTTTTGTCTGTCTGTCTGTCTGTCGGTCTGTCTGTTACCGCATCACAGAAAAACCACTGGATGGATTTTGATGAAATTTGGTGTGTTGATAGCTGGTTATCCGGGTCAACATATAGGATACTTTTTACCGCGGGAAAATGTCTCATTTCTGAGAAAAAATACAAATCTGCAATACTTATATGTAAAAAATTTGGTTTAAGTCATCTGAACGCGGGCGAAGCCGCGGGCAATGCTAGTACTAAATAAAAGTAAGAAACAAACGAAAAACAAGTAATTAAATATGATGATTATTCTAATAAAAACCTTTCTAATTCATGTTAAGATTACAAAATTACAGCATCCAGCTATTAAAATGGCGGGCTGTCAAACATAAACGTGCACAGATAGAATCAAACAATAGTGCCATTACAGATACGCATAAAACATTATTCGACCAAATTAGTGAGTGTTATATAATTTTTAAAAAGTTTATAAGTAGCGTGTAGATTTACGAATGAATGATTAATTTCTTTTACAACAAGTTTCATACAATTAAAAAAGTTTTTTTTATGGTGTAATTTTTAACCGACTTTAAACAAGGAGGAGGTGCTCAATTCGTGTATATTTTTCTTCTTTTGTACTCTTTCTTTCGTTCAATATATAAAATTGTCTACATTTTTAGTAACAAAATTATGATAATCACTATTCATGATATAGGACATGATGATATTTACTAAGCTTGGCCTTTTTCTACATCTCTTATCACAAAACAAAGAAGCTTATGGATCAGAACTCGGTCTAGGTGTATCTTAGAAACTAGAATCTAGATCGCTTGTAGATTTTTTTAATTTATATTAATACACATTCAAATAAGTTAAATTCCTTTCAATCGTTCTAAAGATACACGATTTATCGCATTACACTAATTACACTACTACTATAGAGGCGAAAGTTCGTGGTGTGTTTGTATCCAAACGGATTCAAAATTAATGATATTAAACAGTTGTATCGTAACACTACCGACTCAAGCTCGCTTTGGTTCGTCCCTAGGTACGTTAGTATGGACTAGATAGACTATATATTTTATGATATATAGCCTATAAGGCTTCCTCAATAAACGGGCTATCTAATGTAAAAAGAATTTATCAAATCGGATTTGTAGTTCCTGAGATTAACGCGTTCAATCAAACAAACAAACTCTACCTATTTGTAATATTAGTATAGATTTTTTAGTAAAAATATTTAGAACTAGTAAATACTAGAACTGATGACGGCTGCTTTCTTTTTCGACACTAAGCTTATTTATTCTATATTCTTATCTGTATTTATATATTTATTCAAATCTTTCTTTTCCGTCTATATGTAAATAAATTCTATAAATAATATGATTTACGCGTCAACTTATCCATATGTAGCAGGTGCTTTTTTTATACGAGCTGTCTAGAGCTTTCTTTCACTTTAACAGTTATTGATTTAAAAACTCAAAGGAAGTCTATAAATATAATGAAATATATTAGTTAATAACAAAATAAATCTAATACTAATATTATAACGAGGTAAAGTTTGTTAGTTTGTGAGCTTATTTGTAGGAAGTAGCCACTGGAACTACTGAACCGATTTAGATTAAATTTCCTTAAATCCTTTGATTAAAGATAATTGAGATCTTGGGAAGGACATAGGATAGTTTTTATTCTGGAAATCATCCCTTAAGAGGGTGAAATGGAGGATAAAAGTTTGCATGGGGAATCAATCATTGCTCAAGTAAGAGTTATGAAACTGAATCACACCTATGTATATATGTAGTGTTATATATAGTCTATATATTCCATACTAACCGTTAACACGTACGTACGAACCCGAGCGAAGCGAGAGCAAGTAGATAGTAAATAATAAATATATTTATTTACTATTTTTATAATGTTTTTAACAAGACAAAACGCGTTATGTCACAAATAGGTGTACACTGTACAGTAGTAAGAAGTATCATTAAATATTAGATATCACTGGCCTACTTCATTTGTGTAATTCATCATATATTCTGTAATGAAAATCGTGAGAAATCTTTTTATTGAGATAGTCAAGTACTTAGTAATTAGCTTGCGTAAATTATGTATTTATCCGATTGCTCCGAAACGAGGGTGCTGTTTTTCGATTGTATGTATGTATTTTTGTTCGGTTGTTTCTGCACCCCAAATGGCTTATTTTAGTTTATATGTAAGAAATATGGTGAAGTTGTTCCTGAATATGGTAATTACAGAGTGCATATTATAAGTATAGAGATATTATGTATAATGTTTCTAACAAAATGAAGTCTGTGAATCAAAAATAAGAGAGACGAAATATTTACTTTACCATTAAGTTCGTCGAAATTTTTTTGTAACTACAGATGAGCCTCTTTTCAGCGTTGTTGGTTAACGCCATCTATTAATAGGTTCAGAACTAAAGTACTGTTATAATTTATTTTAATAATATATAGCTATATACATTTATTTGATTATAAACATCACTTTTACAATAATGTATGGAAGTCTGCCCGATTTGTTGACATTTATGATTACTGCTCCGCTCCCTTGGGTATGGCATGATGATATATAGCCTTCCTCAATAAACGGGCTATCTAAAGCAAAAAGAATTTTACTAATCAAATTAGTATTTCCTGACATTAGCGCGTTTAAACAAACAAACAAATAATATATATTGTATATATAGTATAGATATAGATAATAATGATCACGATCCAGCCTAACTAGTTTAACACACAATCTCGGTGCGGTCACTTATATGATAAATATAGTGAGTTTGATTTCCGTTCAAAAATATGTATGTATATAAGAAAAATATATTTATTAGTATATCCAATCAATATATATACCAAGACTATGTAAAATGGCAAGAATCGGTGAAAGAGAAACGCGAAGCGTATATTTTTTGTTTGAAAAACGTTAAGTTTAAGTTATTTTCAACCGTAAATAGTAACTTATTGGACGTCTGTTTATATTTTATGGTTTCATAGTTCATATTGTGAGGTATTCAAGTGAACCGCTTTTCTATCTCACACTAAACTACTTGAAAAACTTTCACTGAGCTATACCATTGTCAATGCGACTATTGTTAGTTATAATATAAATGGCTTAGGATTAATAGAGTTGTTGCCTCTTTGAGGAATGATTTTTACTTTTATTTGTTTACTATTTTTTGTTTGTAACATTACTTGCTTGTTATTAGTCCAGTCAATATAGAAAAATGGCGAAATGTACATAAAATAAAGCAAACTCCGTGATAATGTCATTCGATAAAGAGGAATGAACGAATGAACGAAATAAAAAATGAACGAATATTCTCTCCTCGCGAGGGTCTCTCGAGCGACCCAAAAGCATCGTTTAATTAAAATAAAACAATTTCTGTGATAATATCATTCGATAAAAAGGAATGAACGAATGAACGAAATGAATAATGAACGAATTTTCTCTCCTCTCGAGCGACCCGAAAATCTCCCTTTATCGAATCGCATTATCACGGTAGTTGCTTTATTTTATGTAGATTGATTTATTTATTGACTGGGCTTTAAGAGCGCCGTTAAAAAAGTATATGTATTTAGATATTGTTTTTAGAATACAAGTTATTCCCAACCCTATTTCTATCTAGTTATTGAAATCTCCATATAAATTTCTAAGAAATTAATTAAAATTCTAAAAAATGTATTGTTAACTGACACGCCGGCGTGTCCGCGGTCGTGGAGGGATTAATGTGATTACTGAGTACACGTCTTAATCTATACATGTAATAAAATTCTAACCCAGTTGTATCCGTACATTAATATTTTTTGGAAAATCTTATTGAAATAAGTACTCATCAGGTACTATCGATACAGAAGCCAAATCTATAGTTTTTAGATTTTTTATCTCTCTCTCTCTGGACCACTGGATAGATTTTGATGATATTTGATATGATTATAGCTGGTTATCCGGGTTAACGTATAGGGTACTTTTTACTGCGGGAAAATATCTCAAAACTAAATCTTATTGAGATATTTTACAAGATGTAATTAAGTAGACTACTTACGTATATCATATTAGTAACAATCAATCGTGTATAAACTAACTCGAAGTATATCTCATATAAAAATTAAGTGTCGCCTTCTAGAAGCATTATTTTTATTTCGTTTGGAGACATTTGCTGAAACAAATGAATGTGTAGAGTTAGAAATGAGTGTAATAGCTGTTATAGATGGCCGTACAGTGTTTGCTGTATTGCTATTCTGTAAGCATATACATGTAACTCGACAGCTGAATCCGCAAATATATTATGTACTACAAATATACGTATAATGTACTAAATAGGATATCCGTTTCAGTTGTCGAATTAAAGAAAGAAAATTACAGAATTCCTCTACTGTACTAATATTTTACAACTAAAAATATTGTTCTCTTTTTAGTTTGAAAAATTCTTTCATATTTAATGAGAGTTCATTTACTATTATATCCGTTAGGAAACGGGGAAATAAGCTAGTGACGTAACATTCATCAGAAATCACATTGAAGCAATTTTATGTTCGATATTTCAGGACAAACAACGACCACCGATCTATAACCCAGAAGATTATGCGACGTCTCTCAAGAAATGGGGAAAGAAAACTGGCAACGGCAACTTATACGACCTAGATCCTGGTCAGGATCCGAATAAAGCCAAAACACTGCCAACTCATGGCAGCAAGGATTTCAGGTATACTTATTGTTAATACTACACATAACTATAATCTACTCGTACATATCTATGTATGGTTTTGGACACGGTAAAAAGATGGACGCACCTACTCAATTTGTTTTTGTATTTTTGTCTTATTTTTTATCGAATCGGTTGTTAAATATTGAAAATTCGTCTTATATATTTTTCATACAAATACCTATATATCTCATTTATACTAATATTATAAAGAGGTAAAGTTTGTGAGTTTGTCACGTTGTAGGAAGTAATCTCTGGATATAATGACCCGATTTAGATGAAATTTGGTAACAAGATAGTTTGAGACGTCGGAAAGGACACAAGATACTTTTTATCCCGGAAATCATCCCCAAAGAGGATGAAAATGGGTATGAAAGTTTGTATTGGGAATCAAGCTAGGGACGAACCCGAGCGAAGCGAGGGCAAGTCGCTAGTATATAATATTTTTAAGGGAGTTGATATCGATACCTTTTTTTGTTAAAAAATACTAGAGATGAAAATTTAAAATATTATGCTGCATACTTTCTGAGGCTGCTGAGAAAAACCACAGGTGGATAGATTATAATAATCACAAATAATTAAACAGAATGATATAAATATTTTACTTAACAATAATTCTATATTATTTCAGAAACCCCTGTTTAAACATGGGAGAGGAGATGAGCCTGCGTCAATTTGGTACTCCAAGTGAACTTCTGACCAAACTTAGAGCAGATCTAAGGCTTTCTTTTCCAAGGTAACTCTTATTTTGATAGGTACTGACTGCTGCTGCAACTGTCATTTTTCTTGTTTCATTCCTGTTCTATTGTGATCGCTACATGTTGAACTAGAATAAACTACTGAACCCTGCAGGCTGCAGCTGTAATATACTGCAGACAGTCATCTGGGCCTAGAAAGTGTTTCTCAAGATGAATACTGCCCAAGAGGTCCACACTCCCACAGAAGATGATGTAGCGTTTCACGTGCACCTGTATATAATAATTCAACTCTATTTAATTTCCCTCAGTGTCCTTCCTGTTTTTTTTCGATCATTTCTTGGGATCAGTCCACAGTTCTTCACGCATGCCAAGTGCGGTTTTGACTTAAACTAGTTAGGTTCTCTCAGACATGCAGGTATTTTCTAGATGTTTTCCTTCACCGACAAGTGGTTATCGTAATATGGAAAATGATTGACTGAATGAATGAAGTTTTATCAAAATTTGTTCAGGCAATCTGAAAACGGTAATAATATGGCAATTATCATGAAATATCCGACTGTCTTAGTATAATAACATCTTTTCATCTTTTTACGTTATTGAATTATGCTCGAGTTGAATTCAAGCGAAAGCGTGAGTATTATCGCTGATAGAAAAAATTTACTCCAATAGATAAATATATAATACCTATATACAAAAACAATATATTAAAATATACCGTAATGCGAAAATTTATCTCTTGGGACTGTTAGAAATACGTTTTCACACATTACTGGTGGTACTTAGGTTGTGAGGCATTCGGAGCGACAGTTATATTAGCTAAGGTTTATGGGTTATAAAATCGATTGTAGTAACGTATTTGTTAAACACGTTTAAAATAATAAGGAAAGTTATAATAGCATTTTTTATTATTGACTTATGATTTTGTTAAGATTGCGGGTTCGATTCTAGCTTAGAGCAATAATTCGTTTTTCTCCTTTCTGTGTTTTAAACACGAACTGCTTTGTTCTATAAATTTAAAAAAGATAAACGATTTGATGCTACAATATAAACTATATAGCGAGTGCTGTTTTTAGAATGAAAAAGCTTATGGTAGCGGGGTTTTATTAATAAACATATAATCTAAAGCATAAAGTGAATGAAACATTTAACTTTATGGTTTATTTTACGATAAATTTATAACTTCTACAGCTAATCTTAAACGTAACGTTAGCCGAGATAGTTATACTCGTGGTAGTGGGTTTACAATTAGTAATTTTAATATAACGAAATAAAATATTTTGATATACAGTATGTTCTCTATACGTTAGCTCTATACAGCGTTCTTTAAACTTACTTAAAAAAAGGAGATTTTTAAATCGACTGCTTTATTTTTGTGTACTTACGTAAAGCACTAATTTGGCTTATTTTGAGATGATTTTCATGATATACGATTATTAAAATGGGCAATAAATTATCTTTCTCTGTACTTATACTTTCAAAATTTGACGACCATTATAATAGTATGTGTTTCTCTACATAGGTGGTCAAAGGTTCGAGTTCCACTTAAAATCAATACTAAATATCCGTAGAAGTATTTCCGTACGTTCGATTTTTTTTACAGACTGACACATAAAAGTGCTCTATACATGTTTCTTCGTATTATAAATGAAAAATAAAGATATTAATGTCGTTTTAAAGACTTCGCAATAAAAGTATTTTCATGTTAGCGTTGGAAATAAAAATTCACAATATATAGCCAAGTATCTTTTTCAATTATACTTCACTTACATTGCGATGCGGTCAGCTGCATATCTTTCGTGATGAACTTGTTATCCCCAAGTTATAAGCGAGAGCGGATTACTTAGAAACTCTTTACTTTGCTAATCACCGACCCAGTGGTCGAAATTTGACCATTTATCTATCTGTATTTCTATACATATAGGTAAATGGTCAAATTTTGGCTTTCGAATTTTCTTATACTTTATTTATTTTATTTTTTATTTATTTTTCTTTAGAAAAAATAAATGTCTCGAAAAAAATATCGATGAAACTAGACCTCATCAATAGCTACTAAATACAAAAAAAGAAAATCAGTTAACAAATAAGAGAAAAAGATACTGAACGGTTTTGCCTTTATATAAATATTTACCATAAGTACCGTGTAACGGCTGCGTTATATTTGTTTTATTTTTATTTTTCCGTGAAAATTCTGGGGGTTATAAAAATATAACGCTTATTCTTAATTGTATGTATGTTTAATTAGAAATCCTAAATGTATTGACTATTTAATGTAAAACATAGGAAAAACAGTTAAAAAAAAGAAAATATGTTGATCTGAAATTTTAATAATACTATACAGGTGGTTATTAAAAATGTTGAATTATAATATACAAAATTAGTAAAAAAAGATTACAATTATGTATAACTATTTAATTTCCTAATGCTTAGCTTTTTGTAACGAAATGTTATACACACACTCTCGCATATTTTATGAAAGTTATTTGTAAGGTTTTTCCCGCCACAGTTCCTGCTTTGTACCACACCAAGTTTTTGTAGGTAACTAAAATTGCTGTGACGATTGAAGTAAATCTGCTGAGTTGTTGCAATTTGCGACAATCATTTCTTTATACTGCAAAATTATCATTCTGGTTCATACGTACGCTAATGGGGCCTATTCGCATTTTTATGACTTGCGTATGCGGCTTTATGGCGCCGTTCAAGATAAACTTGTAATTGATTAATTTTCCTTAATTACTTCTAATGAGTTATTATGAACGTTAAATTTTATACTTAGAATGAATGTGTATTTTTTATTCTTTAATAATGCGAAACACCCATAGGGCACATGGATGGGAGTACAAGAGGGTGCACTGCTATGAAGGAAAATATATAGAAAAAGTTAAAGAAATAAAATCTGCGAAAAAAATATGATAAATACGATATGAATAAAAATTATAAAATTAATCATTGAAAGATTAGTTATAAGTTTAATGTGAATAATCAGATATACCCTGAAAATAATTCTGCCCACGCCTACTAGCAAACTCGCAAATTAATTGTCATTTGACGATTACACTGGCACGTGTGAAGCACTTAATCGAGTAGTCATATGCCAAAATGCCTTACATCATTTTGGAAAATAGCTGTTACCCTTACACTGCTGAACCGATATTAACCTAACATAGCTAAGAACCGCCGCAAGGAAACTGGCTTTCAAATGAAAAAAAACGCATCGAAATCGGTCCATCTGTTTGAGAGCTACGATGCCACAGACAGACACACATACAGAGACAGACAGACATCGACATCAAACTTATAACACCCCTCTTTTTGCGTCGGGGGTTAAAATATAATGTTTATGTGGAATACCAAATTGCTTTTATTAGAGAAATATATCATACTTTTTTTGTTCTCAACTAATGACCTTCACTAGTTTATCAAGTATCTTCATTACGAACTTCATCCAAATCGGTTGAGCCATTTTAACGTAATGACTAATGATATACACACCCATAAACTATCACATCTATAATACTATAATTATGTAAAAGTAACTTTTTCAGTTACTTTTTTTCGCCTAAACCTATGAACATATTTCTATGTAATTTGACAAGGGTGTAGATTTAATTATGGGGATTTTACAAAAAAACAAAAAAAGGATTTTATTTCATGCTATTTAGATTTTTTGATGATATAATATAGATTTTATAATATAGAGTGATTATTATTACTTTAACAGTTTTGTGCAAGAGTTCGCCTGTGAACCTCTAGATGGAGTTACTCTGCTTCTGGAACTCCTGCGCAACATTCAGTTGAGTCAAACGGGAGAAGCTTCCCGGGGACCCCCCGCTGTAAGACGAAGACCTTTGTTAGACGAATTAGCTTGCTTGTAAGTATATAATTATATATTTTTATAAATACCAAATAGAGCAAAGGCTATATTTACAACATTTCAAACTTCTTTAATAGATATATTGAAAAAAAAAAATATTTTCATACCGCTTTAATCACTGTTACAAACAGATAGAGGAAGTGTTATACATTAACTTGTAATTATAATACACATTAAACGTATTAAAAATATTTTTTATACTCTTCATTAATGGGAAAGACATATTGAAAACAAATTATTAAATATGATTTAATTTAAAATAACTTTGCTGATGATGATGATGATGATTTTAAGACAATGCCTCTGGAGTTGCTGTTCAAGATACTCAGACTGTGTAAGACGCCTCGTGGCCGGGTCTAACGGTGTGTACGCTCTCACTGTGTGCATCATGTCCAGTGTCAACAAAACAAGAGTTCTGGCTTTACAGGTAACATTAATGTACATAGAACTGCTTATCCGTATATATAACTGTTTATATAAACCAGCAGTTTTAGCAGCATATATTGTAACGAAGAGTAGATTAGATTATAGAAAGTAGATTTTCCCCGAAGGGATGAAAATGATGGTAAAATTTGTATGGCATGGTAAAAAAACTATTGTTACAGCTGTTTTACTATTATCAACATATAAGTGTTAAAAAGAGTTTGACATTAAAAAAATGAAGTGTCCAAATGTCTGATTACTTTACTTTAATTTTAATCTAAGCTGCGTATTCCATTTTACCTTTTTGATATTCTTCTTTTTTGATATCTTCTATTTTACGAGAGATAAAATAAAAAATAACATCTAAACCAAAATGTATTTCAGCTACTCACAAAAGCCTGTTACCCTCCAGCATCTGGCCACAGCATGATCTCTGAAGCTCTATCCACATTACGTTTACGATTCGGAGAACCAGTACGTTTTAGGTTTTTAGTGGGGATGCTGCAAAGTGCTGCAGGATCAGGAGATTTGCAGGCTGCTGGGCTAGCCTTCATAAATGCTCTGTTAGGTAGTGCTCCCACACCACAGAGGAAGCTATATATCCAAGCGGAATTGGAACAGGCCGGTTTCGATATTGTAACATTGAAAAAGGTTAGTACATTCCGAATTGTCAGGCATATTTTTGAATTTTATACAGCATCTATATTGATAAAATTGATTTTTCTTATAGTCTTGAAGTTAATAAAATCCTACCGAACATTATATTGTGTGTTATTATGGCCTTTACAAAAGGATTGCTAGAAAAAAATTAATCTAATGTTTTAAAAAAAATATTATAAAATTCATATCTGATATTTTATTCCGATTAATCATTTAAATTTTAAATCTTTATTTTGCAATTTTTTTCAGGCTGTAGCTAAACTACCAAACATCAACGAACATGTGGCCAGAGAAATAGAAAACTACGAAAGACAATTAATAGACATTGATACATTAAATGAGAAAGCCAATGAGGCGTTAAAAGAAAAAGATGATCTGAGGAGTAAATTAGAATTGCTAGAGAAAAGAGTTAAGGTAAGCTTTAAAAGGAAAATTATAAATATATTTTTGCCTGTAAAGACTTAGAATTACTTTAGCAGGCGCAAAATATTCTGCCAATGTCCCTTGATAAAATAAATCTTGAGATTGAGAGATTTCATGAACTTAAAAAAATGTTGTATATTAATAATCTAAATATGTGATTTTTTGTATATCGCTGAGGAAATAGACTGGTAAATTATTTAAAAATAGTGGAATTGTTTTTTATAATTGTAGTCATCTTAGTGAGAAAATGATATGAAAATTATTAAAATGTGTAAAATTAAAAATATGTTTTACTCTCAGATACTACAAGAAGAAAAGGGTATTCTACTATCCTTAGAAAAATGCCTGCAAGAGAAGTGTTGTGAACTTCAGGAAGAAGTTAGCACATTGAGGTCCGAACATGGCAACTCTAACAGAAAGAAAAGTTTTGCCTGTAAGAAAAAAAACTCCGCACATAGAAATAGAGGTAAGATAGAAGTAGAGAGAGGAAATAAGCACATTATTATTAATTTTATTGTTGTCCAGAAAAAATCTTAAAGATATTCTTTTAAATTAAGTCGTTTTCCTTGCTTTTATGTTTGTTTTTTTTTCTATTTGATCTTATAATTTTAATCTTTTTCAATTTTTTACTGATTACAGAAATATCAAACTTCGTTCAGAATTATTATTTTTTTATTTAGTATACTCTTTTTTTATTTATTTAAATACTAGCAGCTCACCCTCGCTTCGCTCGGGTTTGCCTCTGAACAAAAACAAATGTATCCTTCGAGAACCGTATATTTATCCGGGATAAAAAGTAGCCTATGTGTTATACCAGACTATAATCTATCTCTGTTTCACCCAGATCCGCTCAGCCGTTCTGGCGTGAAAGAGTAAAAAACATCCATACATATTCACAAACTTTCACATTTATAATATTAAATAGATATTTTTCCTTTTTTTTCTTATAGTTAACAACACATCTCGTACACCTACCCAATGAATTTGAAATAATAAAATTTAAAGATTGTTTTAATTTTTTCAGATGAGTCATCCCCGCCAGAAGACGAAGGTATTAGTTCATCCGAACGATCTTTAAGCCCTGAAGTTGAACAACGAGACTCGATGGTGTACGAAGTCTTTAATATCAAGAATGAAACCTATGATTTATTAAGAAACAAACGAACGCACAAGAAACTGGACTCCAAAAAAGATCATAAAAAATCCTCAGATGAAGATGACGAAACTACTATAGATGAAGTTATACAAGAACTAAGAAATATTGTTAACCACGCGGAATGCGAAAATGTAAGACATGATAGATCAAAATGCAATTCCGATATAAATGATCATTTTGAAAAAGAAGACTCTATTACTAGTACTAGACACAGTATACATATCACAAACAAAGATGATGAAAATGAAGAGGCTGAAATAGTTCCCACGAAAATATTACCTCATCCACCGAGAAAAGCCAAAAGTCTGATTCATTTAATGCCCGTTGAAGGTTTAATATACAAAACTGATGCTTTTGAAGAAATATATTCAAGTGATGAAGGATCTGACTCTTTACTTAGTGCTTCTCGCTGCCAGAACCATATAAATAAAGATTCATCAAATAACTTTGATTTTAACGAAAGCTTTATTGATGGAGTCAAGAGATCTAAAACAAAATCTAGAGAAGATTACAAGAAATCTTCAGTAAAACGAAGTGAATCTTTCCAAACGTCAGAAAAAGGATCACGTCAAAGAGAACACATAGATAATATGTTCTTAGCTAAAAGCACTGAAAAATCACGAGTGGACGAAATAGTAAGCTTAATTGAATCTAAAAAGCTTACCAAAAGTTTAGACAGAATTGACGAAGGCCTTAATTCCATGGTGGATATTGTAATGACTTCTGAACCGAAAAAAAACTGGTCGTACGAAAAACGTCAGAGATCGGTCTCAAGAACTAATAGTGACACGGGAATGGAAGAGCCTTTGACATCAAACATACAGACGTATGATTCAAAAATATATAAATATGAATCAAAAACCAGCTATAAAAGTAGAGAGGATTCACAAAATGATCATAAATACAATTCAAAATTAAGTACTGGGTCTTTTGAAGTACCAAATTTTAATACTTTTATTATGAAAAGAGGGAGTGCTGCTGGGTTTTATTCTGGGACCCTTCTTAGAGATGCACCTGCGAGTATGACGAGTTTAGTGATGACGGGTACTCATAGCTATAGTGACTTAAAGAAGAATGTTACGTCTGTTGGTTCAAGCAATTTTGGTTCGCATAAAGTTACAGATATGCCTTCAGGCCTATACTAAGTATTTTTACTATACAATGTAAAATTAGGAGGTCTTATGCATCTTTTATTTATGAAGGTTTATTTATTGCAGTTTCATAAATTGATCTCCTCACGATATTCATTTCAATTTAAAAATATTCCAAGATTTACTAGATTTTAGTTACATCTCGATTCTTCGACGCAGTAATAAGTATGTAAAACCAACGACTAAATTTAAGTTTAACGTAGGTACCTACTTTGTCTAGTGCAATATTCTTCTTTTCGAGGTAATAATCGAAATGAGTTTAATCTTAATGTTTGTAGAGTCTTGGTAATTTTGTGAAAACAAAATTCGCTTAAGATTACTGTTAAAACTATTTAGTATTTTGAACGATGCTGGATTTGAGGAAACAATTGAGTTTCGAAATAACTGCTCGATGTTACTTTAGATATCTTTGCTGTTTTGATCGATTTCAAAAAAAATCGATTGTTAAAAAAATTCGATCGTTTTTTCGTGAACAATGAACTTATACACATATATTTTAGTTAAATGTGAAGCAATTTTATTATTTAATTACTATGTTGTTAATATTATTATTTTTATTCAAACTATTAAATCAAATAATAATAATATAATGTCAAAAAATATGACGTCGATTTTGTTTTTATGAGTTTTAAAATTCTCAAATTACTAGACGTAACAAGGCTGGTCGAAATCTCGTTGTTTCCTTCAAGTTTCCAGCCTATTTATAATTATATTCCTTTAGCATGTTGTCTGTACATAACGCCTTTGTTAGAAATAAATATTTTCCCTAAGATAAAATGTTTACATTAAAAATTAAGCAGAGAGTTAGAATTTTATTTCAATAATATTATCCCTCAATAAAAGTTAAAATACGATATATCTAATATGTATGTATGTAAGTATGTCTGCATTTTATGCTAAAGAATGGATGAATCGAAGGTTCATCGAATCATTAGTTGAAAGTTAAATTAAAAACTAAATTATGCCTAAGTATTATACTAAAGAAGCGTTTTCAATGTATTGATCTTGTCTGTAACTAACACAAGTGGTATAAAAGTAGAGTAAATAATAATTATGGCCTTCTTTCTGGCTTATTCAGTCGCGGTGGTAATACATAATATAGTGTACAAGTACTTAGTGCGCAAACACAAGTGCACTGTCTGTTCCTGTCACTATCATACTCTGCTGGGACGATAATTCGATAGGACCGGTGAGAGAAAAGGCACAGGACTGACCTTTACGTGCTTTCCGGGAATGAAACACCGTCAATTTTCTAACTTGGCCTTTTTACTGTGATTTTTTTTTACAGAGAAACTCAATTACTAAACTTGGTCCGGGACTCGAACCCAGAACCTAAATATGACAGATACTAGACCACACATACATTAATACAGTCTACCTATTCCTCGCTGAAATCGAACTTCTAATTGAAAGGAAATAATTTTGAGATTCATTATTCTTTAGTACATTTTGATATGCGCGAAATAGCCGTCTTTGGGCAATAAAATTTTTAAAAGGGATTTTCAAATTCAAATTCAAAATATTTTATTCAGCATTAACTTATTACAATTTTTTACTACCAATTCGGAAAGAAGAAGCCTCAGACCTGAAAAGAACTGGCGAAAGAAACTCAAGCAATTTCGCAATAGTAAAGGCCTCGTTGCCAAAAATATCTACGATTGAATCTTATATATCTCTCTTATATTATCTTCATTTCCACCAAAGTGGGACAGGGTACTGTTGTAAAATGGTATACTTTTGTAGAATGGTACGGTACTATTTAACAATAATGTGTACCAATTTTCGACTATTGTTTATTGATTGTTTATAAAAACATTTTCAATACAATCAAACCAAACAAAGACGTGTTAATCTTTAACTATTCTTAGACAAACTGTTGTCGACTGAAGATCTACAATGTACTGGTTCATTAGGTTTTTATGTTTTGTACGCATTTTCGCGGAGGGTAGTTTTCAAAAGCAATATTATGAAGAAGATTCTACTATAGATGTATTTGACTTAACTCAGCCCACAATTTGGCAAGAGTTAAATGAATATTACAGTGCTATTGAAAAACATTGGTAAATAACTAAGTAGATACCTACCTGCTTAACAAATAAAATTAATCTAATCGAAGATTATAATAAAATTAGGTAGTAAATTAGAGTGAGAACGACTTTATTTATAACTAGCGTTGCCCGCGGCTCCGCCCGCTTTCAGATTACCAAAAACCAAATTCTTAGGTTTTACATATTAGTATACTCTTACATTGCAGTTTTTGTATTTTTTCTCAAAAATTAGGTATTTTCTCACGATAAAAAGTATCCTATGTGTTGACCCGAATAACCAGCTATCACCATAACAAATTTCATCCAAATCCATCCAGTGGTTTTTCTGTGACGCGGTGACAGACAGACAGATAAAAATTCTAAAAACTATAGGTTCGGCCTCTGTATCGATAATAATGTTTATTTCAATTTCATTATACTTATAGATATTCAGCAGACCTTAAAGATTTTGTGTTTATTAAAGTTTTTAGTTAAATTATATATTAAAGGAAGTCTGTTATTTGCTCTCGTTTCACTCGTAATTGCTGGACGAATTTTAATCAAAATATGTACAATATTAGTTTAAGATACCAAGGCTACATATAAGGATTTTATCCTAGAAAATGAAGAGATAGTGATGATCGTGATTCAGTATTATTTTAAGCCAATATACGTAGTGTTACTTGAACGCCACATTTAATAAAGTGCTTAAACTTTTTCTGTGATGTTGCTGGGCTGAGCATGAGGTTGCTGATCTTAATGAGCAAGATCCTCTCTTTACCCACCAGCCTTTGCGGTTGCGTCGAAAATATACCTTTATAGTTCTTTGCTTGTTCTTTTTCTTAATGCCAATAATAAAAAAGATATATAGACTAGTATTTTTAGGAAAATATGCATTAATTGTGGAGTACCCGGCCTCGGTACCGCTATACATTTAGAGCACACGGGCTCTTCTGGCATGAAACCTGCTATCATTCCTCCAGAATATTTAGTGACTAGATGTAAGTTATTACTCATTAATGTTTGTTAAAATATAAATTAGTATTTAATTAGTCTTCAGTTATTTCCTACATTTCTGTGAACTTTTAAAACGATATTTGTATAAACATTTTTAAGTTCAATTGGTGTAAAGTTAATTCTATAACGCGAACTATTCTAGTACTTAATGTTGAAACCAAACAATCGTTGCAAAATTTTGGAGATGTGTAGTGGCACAATTTTAAATTGATTATTTTAAGAAAACCGTCATCTTTTTATCCGAATATGCTGACTGACTTTATTTCGGTATAGTGATTTTTTATTTCCATGATATAGCTTTCCAGTTTGTCTAGTCGGGAATTTTGGGTGATAATCATTTCAAATATCATTTTCTTGATCTCATTTTTAAAAAATTTCATGTCGTCCTGCATAACCTCTTCGGATAAGCACCTGCGCTTGGCTCGTTTGGTAATATTTCCTTGAAAGTCTTCATCTGCATGTAGTTCCGAATGTCGGTTTCAGATGGTGATGGATGTTGATTTGGGGGAGTCTTAGGTGGTGTTTTAAACATATTGCGTCGTTATTTATGTTTTCTTTATTTAAATTTAATTATCAAAGCCATATACGAAAATTTTGCAGTTACGTACGGTGTCGTTATTGCTCGTAAATTATAACAGGCGTCGAGTTTATGACTAACCTTGCGCAAGAAGTACTACGTAATTGATTAGGTCCCGCCCACTTACTCCGTCTCAGCTGTTGCTATCTTCTTTGCTCCATCACCCCGCGACCACCATTGCTTTGTACTTCATCGTAGCAATTATGATATTTGTTGTCAAAAAAAATACTATTTAATTTTAATAATTCAAAACTTTAAAAATAAAAACTTGTATGGGATGCACGTTTATACGCTTTCGCGGTCCGAAGGGAAGGATATATAGGTAGATAGAAGGATAATATAATATACTTATATAGATTAATTATAGATAATACATTTGATTATTTCTGTTTTTGAATATTTTTTTTAAATTGAATTGATATGCACACACCATTTTTCAGTGACATTAATTGACGTAAGCTACTTAACGAAGATGGAGTCTAATTTTGTCCTAACTCTCGATGTCGCTTTGCAATGGCCAGTTATAAAGCATGATTCCAAAGAACCTACATTGATTCTCTTCAATTTTGGATGGAAACAAACAAATCTCAAAAGAAAATGTGTTTGTAAAATTCCTGGTACGTTAAAAATATTAACTTTTTAGTTGACACTGTGACTACTTACTAAGAATACTTTAGTCTGTTCTAACAATTATCTTGCTAATTTGAATGGATGTTTGTTACTCAATCACTCTCTCAAACTCAGAACGGATCTGGATGAAATTTGACACAGAGATAGAATATATTATAGTAAAAAATAATCTAAATTATAAAATTTTACTCGACTGCGTCGAAGCCCAAGGGAGGGTTTAGATTTTTAATATCCCAATATTTCAGCAAAAGTAAGAAAATATTGGACCCCTCGCCTCCTTAGCCTGCTTACGTAATACTTGAACTATACCCTTATGGGTTTTAATATGTAGTTTTTTTATATCTACCTACAGTATTTCAAAAATATCTACTAATATTAATATGATAACAGGTCTAAGTTACGATCTAGCTTCATGGATCGCTGCTAACTTAAGCCACGTGGTGGGAGTGGCCACGGATGCACCAACATTAGAGTCTGATCAGACAAGAGAGATGACGTCATACACTGTGTCTAACATTCTCGCTAAGAGTGGGATTTATATGATTGAGAATGTAAATTTTCGGAAACGGCTGCCTGGTATGGTATTTTATTAAATAATCGCTGATTGCCTTGAAAAATTCAATATTTATCTAATTTGCTTAACTGTAGGTAAATTTTGGCATAATTTCTTTACAGAACGTGGGTGTATGACAATAGCCATGCCACTAATGATGTTAGACGCGAGCTACGTGCCGACTCACCTCACTGCCTTCTGTCCGTCGCGACAGAGCGACAGACAAGTTACTATCGCATTAAAGAAAGCAACAACAACTTTCTCTAAGAGCAGAATCAACGAAGTAGATTTGAATGAGATTTTGAATTAAATTTATGAAAATATAAAAGTTTTTACAATTAATAATATGATAAGTTTTTAATAAGACATTTGTTTTACTTTATTTTAATCCCCGACGCGAAAACGACGGGGTTATTTGTTTGACGTGTCGTTTGTGGCATCGTAGCTCCCGAACGGATTATTCGATTTTGATTTAGTTTGATAGGTGAATTAGTCAAATGTTCTTAACTATGTATTTTCATCAAATGGGTTCAAGATGGCGGCCACCACATATTTATTCACAACTCCCTCAATAAGGGTACCAAATGAAAGGGCTTGATTAGTAGAATACTATATACATTATGATAAATTTCAAATCCAAGATGGCCGCCACCACAAAATGGCGAATTACGTGTCGGGGTTTTTTTTCATTTAATTTAGTTATTATTAGATTTTATTCATTTCACAGGAACCCTAACATATGTGATTAAAATATGTGAAACAATTGAACTGATTGTAATGTAATCTTCTTCATTATATAGTTAAAAACACTACAACAAAGCAATAAAATACTATCTGAATACATTACAAAAATATAAAGGAACTAGCAGGTCCGGTCAGGCTTCGTCCCTAGGTAGGTTTTAACGGTTTGTATGGAATAGATAGACTATATTATATTATATGATAATGCCTTCCGTAATAATCGGGATATCGAACGCAAAAAGAATTTTTCAAATTCGATTAGTAGCTCTTGAGAATAGCACGTTTAAACAAACAAAACTCTGGCTCTTTATAATATTAGTATAGAAAGAAGTACAGATAAAAGGAAAAACAAACAAAAAATTTGAATAAATAAGCTTTATTTTTGGCCAAACTATTACATTGCATACATTTTTACACATCTATTGTAATAAAAATCAATTACTTTTGTAACGAATAAGTCCATATAAAATAGCACGGAGACGGCCTGAGCCTTTACAAAAGGACACAGGCTCGAATCTGCTGAACCATACATAAAAATCAAATTTAAATAGTACTTTATGAAAGTATATGAATATTTCACTAATAAGACAACTCAAAAAAAGCCCTTATTTCTATCTTTCGAGCGTTTGTAGCGTCCAGGTATAATAATAAATAGGTTCTTAACATTAGAATTATTATTAATTATTATTATAAAAAAAAGTTATTAAAATTTAACTGTCACAATAAAAAGAACCTTCAAAATTTTATATTACGTTCAATTCCATAATTTGACGTTGCTGACTATTCAAAATATCGATATAATCTGGTAGTAATTGATCTGATAAAATCGATTATTCGCAATCGAGATGAATTCAATAGTCAATGACTTTTAAGAAAGCTGATCATTCAAAATCGATATATCGATAATCGATTTTTAAATTTGACAGCAAAACGTCAAGTGTAAAACAAACGCTAGAAAGAGCTTACGCAGAAATTTACAAGCAAATATTAATCTATACACATAGGCAGTTGATGTTGTGACGAGACCAAGCCTTCACATCAGTTCCAAGTAAAAATTATATCCGATAAAAATACAATTATAAGATTACTTTTCTCATTTTTTTGAATATTAAAATGAAAGAGATGTATGAAAAACAAAACGTCATAACTCGAAAATTGTAAATTCTGAAAATTGCAAATTTACTGTATATACTGTTTTACTTCGGAACCGAACTCGGCCTAAGAAATTGTTTACTATACCATACAAAAGTGAAATCTTATCGTAATATCGAACACACTGGCGTTATTTATTGGGAAAATATACGAAGTAAAATTTAGAAATTTCGACAAAACGCCATACATTTAGACCACCAGTGGGAAAGCACCTCAAATATCGAGCAGAAGCAAGATACAATGTACTTAAACGCCTAACGTCTAACATACCCTAAAAAGGGGGGTTTACCCTAATAAAAATAAGGGAAAAGAAATTAAAAAAAAATAATAATAATACTTTATTATTGCCACAATTCGTATCTGGCACTGTTTAGAAGCTAAGTATTAAAAATATACTTTATTTTGGTGCACCAAAAATATTTTTAACGCTAACGTGATTTATATTTACTTATTGTTTTCTCTAAACGTTGGGCCAAAACTCATTTTATTTAGTATATATTACTGTAAAAGCCCATATATTGGTAAATCTTATGAATATTCGGATTTACCAACGTAAGTTGGTAAATTAAACATTTTATAAATAAAAAAAGATGTTATTCCAGGTATTATACCATTAATGTTTGGTACACGATAATTAACTTGTACTAATGACGGTTATATTAAGTAAAAGTTCCACCGGTAGGTTTTACCAAAAATCTAAAGATTTATCCTTTAAGCTTTTATACTAACATATATATTATGAAATAATAATGTCAGAGCAAAAGTGGCCTAACTCTAAGATTATATGTTAAAACGACACAACAGTAACGTCACAAAAATAATTTGAACATTTCTGGAATCATTATATATGCATATGTAGACCAATTTTGCGCCGACATAGTAATATAATTACTTAAGAATATAATCGATAAAGAGTATTATTATTGATTTCAATCCTGTATAACCTTTTTTTACTCTTCTACAAAAAAAGCGTATGACATAATACATACAATAAATTTTAAGTATATACGAGTGTGTATGTTACATACAATAATTATATTTTAAGCCAATTTAGCCCAACGTATAGCATATACTAAATACATAAAAACTTGGATATACTCTCATTTATACAGTGGATATTTTTATACTAAACGAGAGTTAATTGCTTGGCTTAGAAATGCTCAATTAGGAATGAACTAAGTGTCGATATACAACTGACTAAAAATCTAAAAATTGGGTTAAATTTGAAACTTTAAAACGGCACTACGGTGATTTATATTGTGTTTGTTTATTATTAATAATAATACAACAAACCCCTTAAATATATAATAATTTGTCATCAAACGAACAGACCTACTTACAAATTTGAATGTAGAAAATCTTAATCTATTGTATAAAGTTTAATTGAAAAAACCAGAGACAAAAAATGTAAACATCATAAACCGTCCACAGATTATAATAGTATAAAAATATCGGATTTGACAGATTAAAAATAACATTTCCTGTAACAAGTATCAAAATTAATTAGAAGTTCTTTTTAAGTATAAAATGCATGTATGTATTTAAATTTATTTGAGTTAGCTATGCCTTATTCTAGTTTTATATTCTGTCTAACCACAGTCAGCCATATCGACACTTGCTGGATGGGATTGTGTGCGTGACAATCATCTTGAGCTCGAGTCATAGACAATTTCATAGAATATGGCACAGACTATCTAATTGTTGTCAGAACCAGATGTCAAAATAAGTTTTTTTAACGTCAAGCAAGAGCCTCATGGTTCCACCCATGGTGAAACATCTTATTTTTTTAATGTATCCGACATATGACCTATGATACGTACCCATCCAGCGAAAAAACAGCCAAGCGTTTAGTCTTTCCAATCTTTTTTTATTTCAAAGCTCCATTCCCATTGGAGGTGAACGTTTTTGTCGTCGTCCGTAAAGAGACTGTTGACTGAGTATGCCCCCCTGGCCATCATACCCGAGGGCGCGTCTTCTGGGGGGGTGGTGTAAGAATGGATTTCGGTTTTAGGGGGATAAGAACCCACCATGTGAGTCATCTTGTCCACTGAAATGAAAAATAAAGATATGAAAATACATTGATATTTATATCTATATAAATAAGGTCCTAGTAAGACTATATATAAATATCTATATATTTTTGTGTCCGTCTGTCGTTTTATTATGATATTTTATTTATTATATAATTTCTTTATTGCAAAGTTTGATTCTGTAATGTAGACTTAAAGAAAAACTGTTCATTTTATTTGGCTTCATGTAAAACAAGTAATGAACAATAGGTGTGATTTGAATATAAACACTGGCATACAAATCTGCTGTCAGAAGCTTGTATAATCTAAATTATATATAAATAAAGTAAGCCTTTGTTGATTTAAAAACGAAAAGTCTCATAAACTTCTTAGTTTACTACTATAAAAAAACTAAATATAAAATAATAATGTTTTGTAAATTCTAAAATTTTGCTATTTCCACATCCCAGAAGTCTTTGGTTGTATTGTTAATGTTGAGTGACATTATATGAAATAAAACCGGCCATTCAAGCATACGCCATGTGTCACATAACAAATAAATAACATCACAATAAGATTCCTCTACCATTATTCATTTTCAAAACATCAATTAAGAATGAACCTTGTCAGTATAATGTTAGGGTTCAAAATACATATTTAATTGTTGCCAGATGTTGAATATTTATAGGCACGTATTAAAACCTAATGTCGTATGAACGTTTAAATTTAAAAAAAAAAATGAAGTCTACAATTAAAAATGTCATGATTTACGAGTATGTATCTCGAAACAAATTTTCATCTTAAATAATAGACATGGATTTTGTAAACATACGGACATTTGTCACGTCACAGGCCACGATTTGTTGGAAAATTATTGGAACTTATAGTATGAGTCTCCAAAACAGCGCTACCGACCAGGTTCAGCTGTGAACCTTCTAGGACACCCATAAGCAACCAAAAAGTTTCATCAAAATTGGTCAATTCGTTTTGAGTGAAGAATTTATTATTGACTCACGCAACCACCCGAATTCTATAAATATAGCTAACAATAACCTTAAAAAAGCATTGGCTACAACACTACAATGAACAACCAAAGAGTTATTAAAATCATATATTACACATAACATGATATAATTTCCTTTTTCGAACTCTGTTACAAAACAAACAGAACCAAGTGCAAAAGTACTAGGTTTATAAAACGACAAACATCGCATATTTATAAGTGCGTAATAATAACACAGAACGAATATAAAGTAATCGTAATACATACCGGGCACTGTCCAGATGCGTGGAATGGAAAATTGAATTTACTATTGTAATTGTACTTACAAAACTTATTTAATACACTAGCATTGCCCGCGGCTCCGCCCGTGTTCAGATGACCAAAAACCAAACTCTTAGGTTTTACATATTAGTATACTCTTACATTGTAGATTTTGTATTTTTTTTTCTCAGAAATGAGATATTTTCCCGATATATATGATGTGACCCGGATAACCAGCTATCATCGTACCAAATTTCATCAAAATATATCCAGTGGTTTTCTCGTGATGCGGTAACAGACAGACAGACAAAAATTCTAAAAACTATAGATCCGGACTCTGTATCGATAATAATGTCTATTTCAATAAGATTTTCCAAAAAAAATTTAATGTATCGATTCGACTAATAGTTACAATTTTATTATATGTATAGATGTCCTCGTATGAATCATTCGGTCGATTTCCTTAAGTGTGTATTAGTAATATAATATGTGAACTATTCATATTTCATATTAATAAACCGAACTTGGATAGGCGTTTTTCGAAAAAAATATAAAATTTGCGTTTTTTTTTCAGAGAAAGACATCTATAGTGATAAACTCAAAAAGCAAAAACCTTATCTAAGTACAAAATTTGATCCTGATCGTTAAAGCCGTTTCCGAGATACACGAAATAATTTATACATATACATATTACTATATATTCGAGAATTGCTCGTTTAATATAATATGATTGATATCTATGTAGATTCAATTCAGTTTTTGTATTTTTTCTCCGAAATGAGATATTTTCCCGCGGTAAAAAGTATCCTATATGTTGGATCCGGATAACCAGCTATCACCATTAAACATTTTTTACTAAAACCCCAAGTGGTTTTTCTGTGATGCGGTAAGAGACAGACGGACAGACAGACAGACAGACAAAAATTCTAAAAACTATAGATTCGGCCTCTGTATCGATAATAATGTTTATTTTAATAAGATTTTCCAAAAAATATTTAATGTACAGATTCGGCTTAGTTACAATTTTATTATATGTATAGATTTGGTATATTAAGTGGACACTGTGACTGTGAGATATAAGCATAATGCTGAGATAATATCACTGAAGGACACGCGGGGCGGTAGTAAAGGTCTAAGCCTAGCAGATCACTTGTTTATTAATTAATTTCAATGTTGATGTTTACATAATACGGTCTTATCTCTGTTTTATTTAACTTATCTTAAGTAAAGATATGTATATATTGCATGTTTTAACTGTAATTAAAAAGCACAATTAATACAGTGTAAAAACGTCCTAACTCATAATTTTAAAATGATTTTGTAATATAACACTTTTACATAATCATTTAAAAATATTATATACGTAGGTATATTTAACGTTTATTTTTTAATTTTATTATTTAACTTTGTACTTCATTTTATGTTTATAATATAATAAACATACAAACATACATACGTGATATTAAATCCGTACTAATATAATAAATATGAAAGTTTGTGAAACGGAACCGAAGCGAAGCGAGGATGAGCCGCTACTATTCCATAATTAAGTCCTACGGTTTGGTTACTTTTGTACTAACAATGTGTTGTTAAACTATCATTAACTTTTAGAGCTATCGTTATAATCTATACATATAATAAAATTGTAACTAAGCCGAATCTGTACATTAGATATTTTTTTGGAAAATCTTATTGAAATAGTCATTATTATCGATACAGAGGCCGAATCTATAGTTCTTAGAATTTTTCTCTGTCTGTCTGTTACCGCATCACGGAAACACCACTGGAGGGATTTTGATAAAATTTGGTATTATGATGGCTGGTTATCCGATCCTATATGTCAACATATAGGATACTATTACAGCGGGAAAATATCTCATTTTTGAGAAATCGATACTAAACGTTAAAACGTAAGCAGGGACGAACCCGAGCGAAGCGAGCGTGAGTCGCTAGTATACGATAAAAATACAAAAGATTCCAACGAATTGAGAACCTCCTTTTTGGAAGTCGGTTAATAAGAAGAGAAGAAAAAATATTACTAAATATATATCACCTGGCACTCCCAAACGATAGGTTTTCTGGACATATTTCAATCCGTGTACGATTTCACGTTGCACGATGAAATCAATTCTTATCCGATATTGCACGCCCTCCTTAATTGTAAACACCTGAAAACAACCAAATTAAATCTTACACTGACCCAGTAGTAAATAGTAAGTATCTGTATGATACTTTCTTTTATTATGGCACATATAATTTTAAGGCGGTGGTGCTTAGTGGTAACGCGCTTGCTTATGAAACCGAATAAAGCAGATTCAAATCTCGGGTCTCGCACCTTTGATATTTTTATGTGCGAATTATTTCCAATCTGATTATCACTCGTTTTACGGTAAAAGAAAACATCGTGAACCTGATTTTCTGAGAGAACCTAGCAAGTTTTCAAAAGTTTTCGTGGTGGACCATGTCCTGATCCCCTCGTATTGATAAGAGGCCGTGCCCAGCAGTGAGACGTTAAAAAGGGCTGAATTAAAGGTGTAACTTTTTTAAGATTATCTGAGGAAAAAATACTATTTTTGAAGTTAAATATTATGTCAATGACAATACCTACAACTAAAGATCAAAGATAATGCGCACGCGCATCATTTCATAATTTTGAGACTACAATACAGAAATCAGGGGAATAACCTAATTTCCATCCATGTGTCCAAACAAAGCAACGCTCGTCTATCAATCAAAACATTTATACTTCAAAGTGTGTCAAATTGTGAAAAAATTTTACTAAGAATATATCAAAGACAAAAATAACTAGTTTTTGCCTAACGTCTATATCTGCGTATACTCGTAAAAGTATGTATGTATTTGGTATCAAATCATTTAACTGAAATGCGCTTGCGCATCAATCAGTTATAGTATTACAGATTAAGAATATCTATGCTATATATTTCCTAGTTATCTATTAGCGGTATCGATTGTAGAGAGTAGACTTCTCTAAGGGAATAAAACTACTGGACGTCTACAACTGTGTATATTATCGATAAGATAGCGTTATCGCTTTAATCTATGCGATTGTAAATATTCGATATGACCTTACATAAACCTTTTTATATTGGTAAAGCAAATATTTAAGGAACAAAGACAAAAATTGAGTGTTTTCATTTTCACATGATCCCAATATAAGTTTTCTATAAATATTAAAATTATGTGAACGCGCGATTTTCGATGAATTAAAACGGGTGACCCAAATAAATTTTAGAAAATCCATCGCTGATATTATCCTCCCATTAAAATTGATTTTAGAAGTTATACTTCGTTTGGCACGTTCGGAAAAAATTATGAGAGTAAAATTTCTACGATGCGCGCACACCGACAGCTAAAAAGCGACATGATGAAGTTAGCTGCATTCCTTTTACAAACAGAGAGTTGTGACATACGGTATGAAATCTTTAGCTATTTTTGTTCTGTTACGGCAAAGAAGTTTAACCTCTTATGTAACAACATAATAAACACAAACACAACATCATAAACAAGTAGGTACGTACACACATACGTTTTTTTATTGAAAATTTAAATGCTATAGGAAATTTAAACTAAAGAAACATTTATATTTTTAGGATAAGATAAACACAATTTCATAGCCGGATGCAACATCCGGACGGATGAACCGTAGAAGGATACGTCTAGTGTGAATTTACATGATTCAATAAGCATGCAGCGTGATACCTTATTAATCATAGTAACTTATCTAATTATAATATAATATATATAATATTATAAATGCAAACATGTGTATGTTTGTCCTTTTTTTACGTAGTTAGGCGTGATTTTTATATACATATACTTTATTAGTTAAAAATGGCCAAAGCCATAGGGTACTTTTTACGCCTATATATTGAACGTGAGATATTAATATACTTTATTATACATAAAAATTCTCATAGCGTGAAAGCGTCCTTATAAGCACGCTCATATCAACGTATTTGGAACAATTCTTTAAGGGCGTATCGTGTTCGCGCTTTATTTTGGTAGAGAAATTGTAAGAATTATCAAATAATTTAGGTAACAGCGTGAAAATGCTTGAACTAATAGCCTAAATATTGAAAGTTACCCTTTCTATTACCTTTTCACGTTTAAGCCGCTGAACAGATTTCGATAAAATTTAACAAGGACATAGATTACGCGTAGAAACAGACAGGCTAACATTATATATGTATATTCTGCTTAACATGCAAAGCGCGGGTAGATACAATCAACTAGCTTCATAAAGTAACAACAACGTATACGGCACACATAAAAATCGTACTTGCTGTGCCAGCGGTCGCGGGTTCGAGTCCCGCTGGGGGCATTCATTTGTGTGATGAGCACGAATATTTGTACTCCAGTCATGAGTGTTTATATTTATAATATGTATTTATTTAAAGTTATATATGTATAGTGTATCAACTATCTGGTATCCATAACACAAGCCTCGTAGCTTACCATGGAACTAGATGGTGCTGTGTGTTAAAGTCCCAACATATATACAAAAACAACGCGAATACGTGTTGCCTAATGAGAAAATAGCGTAAAAACTGTCTTCCAGTTTAGGTAGCGAAGTGCAAGGCAAGTGATTGATAAGCCGATGCGGTCTGGCGTCGTTCCAATGGATAAGTCTGTGTATCATAACACCTGTCCGAGATATAGTGATTGCTTTAGACAATTTAAGATTGCGTAGTTTAATTATATATTAGTTTAAAATAGAAGTACACGTTCAGTGTTATTCAAGTTTTATGACTCAAATATGTTTAAATTAACTACAGAGATATTTTATACTAGCATTTCCCGCGGCTCCGCCCGAGTTCAGATGACCAAAAACCAAATTCTTATGTTGTATTGTTAGTATACTTTTACATGGCAGTTTTTGCATTTTTCTCAGAAATGAGATATTTTCCCGCGGTAAAAAGTATCCTATATATTGACCCGAATAACCAGCTAGCACTATACCAAATTTCATCAAAATCCCTCCAGTGGTTTTTCTGTGATGCGGAACAGACAGATAGACAGACAGACAAAAATTCCAAAAACTATAGATTCAGCCTCTGTATCGATAATAATGTATAGACATTATTCAATAAGATTTTCCAAAAAATATTTAATGTACAGATTCGGCTTAGTTACAATTTTATTATATGTATAGATTTATATATTTTGTAATTGAAGTTATGTCTATAATAATATAAATATATATTCATATCAATCACTACATAATATTATAAAACAAACTCCCCCCAACGGGTCTGTTTGTCTGTTTGAACGCGAACCACCGAACAGATTTTCATACGATTTTCACCAATGAACAAAGTGATTCATGAGGAAGGTTTTGTGTAAATTGGCTAAAAAAAAGGATTACGACGAGTTGAGAACCTCCTCCTTTTTGAAGAAGTCGGTTGAAAATATGACGATGATTGTTGAAGATTTCGGAAAAAATCTGGTTTTTTTAATACATATATAAATTTTCTCATAATTGTTCAGTTACGACAGGTCTAATGAGATTTGCCACGAGATAGTGCAGATGTGTGTGTGCAAGCACAAGTGCACTGTAAATACAACTAATTTTTCGGGGCTTTATGTATATTGATTTGTTCTTGACCAAATGCTCTAAAACAAACATAATCACGTAAGAGACTAAGGTGACTGTCGTCTCAAAACGTATGGCTTTTACAGACGGTGTCTACCCACAGAAATTATAAAATCGTTTGGAACAAATAATTTTTTTTAAGTCATTAACCCTTTACCCTTGGGTTACGAAATGTGGACGTTTTGTTAGCTTTATCACTTTTAAGTTTTAACTACGTGATCAAATCTTTGAAACCGATTTTAGAATACTTATAACTATATTGTATCAGTTTGCCACTTTGATAATACATGTATGGTATACATATAAATTGGTTAATCTATAGTAATATTGTAAAGAGGCAGAGTTTGTCTGTCTATCTGTGATGTGTCTATTTGTTTGTTTGAACGCGCTAATCTCAAGAACTAGTTATTATATAATATATAATTATTTTTGCATTAGATAGCCCGCTTATTGAGGAAGGCTATAGGCTATATATCATCAGGCTACTACCAAAGGGAGCGGACTTCCATACATTATTGTAAAACTGATGTTTATAATATGTGTTAAGACTGTGCTTTAAGCTCAGAAACTTTGGTTAAATACTCATCGTGTAGAGGGTACGTATATGAAACAGGCTTATTTGTATGATCAAATTTAACGCGGGTAAAACCGCGGGGCACAGCTAGTAATGTAACAATATGACCAACATTTATCATCGACTATAGAGCAGATATGATGATAGATTCGAGAAGTAGAATTCTGTAATCAGTATAAATAAGCTCTTCCCGTTGCGGAACTTTTATGATACTATTGGCTTAAAGGATATTGTTTAACTTTTTTTATTCGTATATATCTTTAAAATAATTAAATGCTATTTTATTACAAATAGTCTAAAGTTGAGACTCTCAAAGAAAAAGTTGCTTGAACTTCGCAAAGGCTTTAAGAAGAAATCTGATATAATTTCTCGACAGACTGTACTTAGTTACTTTGAAAAATGTGAGTCATTACAGATTGGAGACAGCCGACGCCACTTTACATAAAAAATAGCAGATTTTTTTTTAAATGTAACACGAAGTAAAAGCTTTCTCTTTTACTTCTATACGTAGGTATAATAAAAATCTGAGTCGAATCTGTACATTAAATATGTTTAGAAAAATCTTATTGAAATAGTCATTGTCGATACAGAGGCCGAATCTATCGTTTTTCGAATTCTTGTCTGTCTATCTCTCTAGGAACGCATCACGAGAAAACCACTTGACATATTTTGATGAAATTTGGTATGATGATAGCTGGTTAACGGGGTCAACATATAGGATACTTTTTACTGCGGGAAAATATCTCATCTGAGAAATGTATACTAACCGATAAAACTTTTCCTACCTTCTCGGTTCTTAGGGACGAAGTCGAAAAATAACTATCGACTACCTCGGTGGTCTAGTGGTTAGCATGCATGGGGTCCTGGGTTCGAATCCCAGTCACAAGTCATTGATTTTTTCCTGACAAAAAATTCTTAGTAAAAGCTCGGAAGTTGGGAAGTTGACCGCGTATCGTACCGTGCCTCGGAGAGCACGTAAAGCTGTCGGTCCTGCGCCTTGACTCTCACCGGTCGTATCGAATTGTCGTCCCAACAGAGTACCTACCTATAAGTGACAGGAATAGAGATGGCTAGTCTCAGTGAGATAAGCCGTGGCCGAAGTAGGTCAGGGTGACATAACCATTGTCATGAAAATAATAATTATACTTGAATTTTAAACCAACGACACTATAAGAAATAGATATAAAACAATATATACCTACCATATATACCTAATACCTATATACCTAAATCAATTGATTTCCTAACACGTTTTTAGCTAAATCTTCATAACAAAACACTTGACGCGTCATTACACTCGACCTTGCTTAAAAGAGAAGGCTGTCTGATTCGCAAATCGTGAATCATTAATTTATGACGTCAAAAGAAAGAGGAGAAATGTTTAGAAATACTAAAAAATATTCACTTACGTATTACTTTCTATACATATAATAAAATTGTAACTAAGCCGAATCTGTACATTAAATTTTTTTTGGAAAATCTTTTTTAAATAGGCGTTATTATCGATACAGAGGCCGAATCTATAGTTTTTAGAATTTTTATCTGCCTGTCTGTTACCGCATCACGGAAAAACCACTAGAGGGATTTTGATGAAATTTGGTATAATGGTAGCTGGTTATCCGGGTCAACATATAGGATGCTTTTTATCGCGGGAAAATATCTCATTTCTGAGAAAAAATACAAGAAACTGCAATGTAAGAGTATACTAATATGTAAAACCTAAGAATTTGGTTTTTGGTCATCTGAACGCGCGCGTTGTGCGTATTTCCATAAGATTTACCAAAAAATATGTAATGTACAGATTCGGCTTAGAATTTTATTATATGTATAGATGTTATATTTAGATATAGTAATGAAACTCGTTAAAACTACATATACTATTTATTTAGCCCTTAGACTGTACATTTTAACCGTTTTCTATTAAAAACACAGGAATTCAATAAGACTTACCTGTTTTTTCAAGTCAGTCAAATCCCCAGTGAGGTCGAGCTCGAGGTCGTCCCGGTCCGTCACGCAGAGCGCCAACTTCTTCACGATCACCTTACGTGGATCATTTGCATCTATGAAATAAACAATACTTATTTATATATGTATATCTAGCTTTTGAGGTATCAGAGGTATCATGAGGTCATTCTCTGCTTATTTCAACTTTAAATCCTATCAATAGTGTAAGATTGTTAGGTGTTGTAGCAACTCTCGTGTCATTTCCTACTGTTCCTAAATAATTCCATCCATAATGAATACAAGCATTCATCATGAAGATGATGTGAACCAATAATCTCCTTAGTAATATAATAAACCTATTGCAAAAATAAAACGTAATTCAATAGTCGATTATACTAGATATATGGTCTTTAGTACTTTATTTTTATGGAGAGAGACAGATTTTTCTACTGTTACCACGACATTTGAAATACTTAGTGACAGTCTCTCGCTTTGCTCGGGTACGTCTCATCTCTGACCCAAATTTCATCCAGATCCGTTCAGCCGTTGATTGAGTAACACACATCCATCCAACCAAACTATTGCATTTATAACATTTATAGGATTATGTACTCAACATTTAAAATGTCGAATAAAAATTTACCATGCCGTATATAGGTACACAGATTACCATTTCTTAGGGATAAACAGTAGCCTACGTGTTATTCTGGTGTATGAGTATTATGATGTATGTATATTAATTGTTAAAATTTATTAAAAACTATTCAGTAGTTTTTGCACGAAAGAATAACATCCTCACAAACTTAATAATATTAGTAGTTATCTTATACAAGGGGAGATCAAAAAGTTCGTGGAATGGAAAACTAAGCGGGGGTGGAACTGCTCAACCAGGTAGGTAGCAATCGAGCGACTCAGTAACAATATACCAAGAATGAAGCTAATCAAATAACTCCTTAATTATCAACGAGCAATTAATAACTAACTTAAAAAACCAGCCAGTATGGAACTTCATCCCAATTTCGTTATATGTATATCAGATATTTTTTTACACTTTATGGGGGTCTCCTCGTGGTAATTAATGGTGTATAAATAACATGGCCTTTCAAATCGAAACTGGACTAAGTTGTAGTCCTAATAACCTTGGAGCCTGACAACCGATTCACGCTACCATACCAGAAATAACAACATGGGGTATCCATTAAGTGACAAACTATTAAGATATTAGCGTCACCACAACCTTAACGGTGGGTTAGTTAGTGGCATAGTTCTGCACGTTTTCTTGTATTCGATTTTAAATGTACAATCAGCCGGGTGTTCACACGGTTGATTTTCATTTATGGTATAACGAATATTGGCAGTTTTCGCACGTCGAGACAGACCTAACGCTGGGTTCACACGTCATTGCCCTGCACGGTTTTTTGCAGTATACGTCTTAACGAATACATAGTGGTACATACATTGTATATATAACCGTACACACGTCTTTTGTACTGCAAAAAATCATACACCGTTTATACGTTTAACCGAATACTCACCGGACTTGTCATTCAAATCGAATGAACATTAAGGTATTCGGTTTGCAGTGAACAAAGAGGATATATTATTTACAATGTATTTTAAAGATTTTTCACCATGACCGATAAGTTCATTATAACAATATTGTTATTGTGTTGAACGAACATTTGTTCAATTAACATATATTATTACACTCCGCGACAAAAGTATTTTTATTTGTTTGTAGTATTATAATATTATCTATATCCTATTAAAATATATTACATTATTATTATTTAGAACAGGAAAATGTATGCAAAAATATAATGTTTATATATTGTTTTATAGCATGACTTGATTAACTATATTTCAAATCAAACATTAATCATTTATTTTCGAACTGCCTATAATAAATTACCAAAAAAAATATATACTTTATCAGTTTTGGCTTAGTCACATGTGTTTTTCATTGACGGTTAACTACGTTATATATGCTTATCTCTCTTATCTATTTTATAGATCGACCAGACGAATTTTTAATACCATATACCTAGGTCTAATCAGGTCTTGTAAATCAAGACCTACTTATACTGATATAGTCTCAACCACTCTACTTAAGCCCTTTATTATAGTAGGTATTACTCTCCAACCCCCAACGGTTTTTTTAATGATAAATAACAATCTAAAATTTCACAAGTAGCTTCATTTTGACGATACTTGATTTGATTTTCTTGCTACGAAAATGTCAGTGTCAACTTCAGATACAATTTGTGGATTGATACGGAACATCTCGAAATGGTGATTGTCTACAATTTATTACTAACAGGTTGTTTTACGATTTAATCTTGAGATAATCCAACATTAGACAAGAAAAAAATGTTGTCCTACAAAACAGATGGTTTGAATCAAATAGTCCCCATCTCAGACTTGTGAAAATAACGTCATTTATACATATAATAAAATTCTAACCAAGCCGAATCGGTACCTTAAATATTTTTTAGAAAATCTTATTGAAATAGACTTTATTATCGATACAGAGGCCGAATCTATAGTTTTTAGAATTTTTGTCTGTCTGTCTGTTACCGCATCACGAGAAAACCACTGGATATATTTTGATGAAATTTGGTATGATGATAGCTGGTTGTCCGGGTCAACATATAGGATACTTTTTATTGCGGGAAAATATCTCATCTTTGAGAAATCTATACTAAATGTTAAAACGTAAGTAGGGACAAACCCGAGCCAAGCGAGGGTGAGTCGCTAGTAAAATATACTAATAACCGACTGATTTTCATAGTATTTATTATTAAAAATATGCGTAGTTGAATGATCAAATCGTCCTACAAATAAAATGCTAGGATTTCTGTCCTACGCTCGGTTACTGTCCCCCGCACTGTGATACTTTCATAGACTTAATATATACGGTAGTATATTAAATTTATCATTGGATATATTAATACCTTCTTAGATTTACGCCAATATTAAACATTTTAAATACAACTATCTTTTAATTAAATAATCATGGTCACGGCAGAATCTCTCCTGTGACCATGATTGCTGCAAAGCATTCGAAACGTCTGGAACCAAAATCAAAATAAATCCGCAAAAAAATCCGAGAAGATAGTTTTATTTAAAATCTATGTATATTTTATTCATTAATAATAAGCTCGTGAAGTTTTAGCTTATTATTAATCATTAAAAACCCTATTGGGGACTGTAGACTTTAGCATCCACATCAAAATGACGTTGTAGCATTCATTCTTTAGAGTATCTAAACATTTAAAATGAATTTTCGATAATGCTTTTATTGCACATTAAGAATAAATTGTAAAGGAATAGATTTAGCAACAAATTATTTATTTGAAAATTAGTTTGAACTGTAAAACATCTGTTATATAGGTATACCCAATCATATTATGACATTGATTTCCATAAGAAAATATTCTTCGTTAATATTTTAAGATTTAAACATTTAATACACAACCACAAGTGAACAGACCAACAAACTTATTTCCATATTTTAAAATTAATTACGGCAACTGTATGAAAACAAATATGTAATTTTTGTAATATTTAACTTACTTTAGGGCTCTTACTTATATTTTAGGTCGATATTACATACGTCCGATAATACCAGAGATAAGCACGATAGTAATTCAATAAAGGATATAATAACGATATTATGTGTTCTAATATATAATTTATAACTATACTAATATTAGAAAACTGTACTGTTTGTTTGAATGCACTATTCTCTCTGGCTTTACCAATTTGAAAAAAAATGTATTTCTTATTTTTAATTAGCAACTCACCCTTGCTTTCGGGTTCTTCCCTACTTACGTTTTGACGTTTAGTATAATATATTTCTTAAAGATGAGATATGTTTCCGCACTAAAACGTACCCTATATGTTGACCCGGATAACCAGCTATCATCATACCAAATTTCATCAAAATTTGTCCAGTGGTTTTGCCGTGATGCGTTCACAGACAGACAGACAAAAATTCTAAAAACTATAGATTCGGCCTCTGTACCGATAGTAATGACTATGTCAATAAGTTTTTACAAAAAATATTTAATGTACAGATTTGACTCAGAATTTTATTATATGTATAGATTTAGATGAGAAATATACCTACTTTTCTAAATAATATAGGAAATCTAATTAAGTATATAAATATACTTAATTAGATTTCATACAGTTAACTTTTAAGTTAACTATACGAACGGAGACACCACCAAAAGCTAGCCGAACAGATATTGTATTTCATGTTAAAAGTTTAATTCATATGCATGATTCCATTATTTTAATCTGTTAAAAACGTTTAAAATTGTGCAAGTACCAGCAATTCTGCATGAAATAAATCTTGTACTCAATAAACTACATGTGAGCAATTTAGCATAAAAATAATATTGAACAGGAATTTATGAAAAATAAATTGAAGTGATTACAAAATTCCCATTATTCCAATTTTTGCTAACTTAATAAAAGGGATCATTTATTGACCGACTTTCAAAAAGGAGGAGTTTCTGTTTGTCTTTATGCAAGGTTTTTTTTTATAGTTTGTACTAAATGTTTCTTTGCATAGTTTATTTCTTAATAAATGTTCGACTCTTGACAGTTGTAGCACAATGTTAGAAAGCCCATAACCTTCCTCTTCCGAATCATACTAGTGGCTCCAGAACTCTTCCAGATTACATTTTATTGTAGACTAGTGTCTTGTAGAATCTTATATATATTATGTAATTTTTTTCACAGAACCTAATTCAATTTCTAAAATAAAAGTAGTCTAAGTTACTCCTTATAACATCAGTTACGTGCCAGTGAAAGTCTAGTAAAACTCGGTCCAGCCGTTACGGAGATTAGCCGGAACAAGCAGAGAATGTTTAATATTTTTTTTATAAGTATCTAATATATACTTTCATATGCATTTAGTAAAATGTTGTTATACATTACAAACAGACACTTCAATTTTATTTATCTGTATAGATTAAAATACTATATATTATAAACTTCTTACCAACTATTACAGTTCCAGCTTGAGCTTGACCGAGTAGAGCCTCTTTATATTTTCTCAGTGATTCATCTTCTTGGTCAGCAGCTAGGATTTCCTCAATTGTTTTCTCTGGAGGTGGTTTGTAGGAAGACTTGATTTCTTCTTCTTCGGTTTCCTCTTCTTCAGGTGTGCGTGCTACTTCTGGCTCACCAGACATTGTGACTATAAAATTTTTTGTTGTATATAATATATTAATAACACAATATATTTCACATACACATCTTTATTTTATACAAAATTGGAAATTCTATTTAATAATCATAGGTTACACATCCAATTCAATTTGCTTGTTAATGGCTTTAAAGATTGCCACTAGAGCACAGATTACTTTGCCAATGTCACATAGAATGGAGAAGACACGAAGGAGATCGGTTGGTCAAGTAAAATTATTAAAACTATATTAAATTATAATGAAGTTACACATTGATTGATTCTTATTAACAGTCAAACTTGTCTTGCATATGGGTATAGACTATAGAAGAATGTTTAATCTAAAAGAGCAATTGCAGCAATATTGTATAATTGTGTACTTTATGAGTGTCAATAATATTTAATATATCTTTGATATTAAAAAGCCTGCATGTTTTGAAGCCATTAATAAGAAAATTGAATTAGAATACAGCAAGATAGCTGAACATTTAATAGGTATTAGGGTTATCATTTCATGTCAATGTTAAAATCGTTGTGAAATTTGTATTTCCTAATTAATTCAAAAAAATCCATAAGCCAACTAATTAAGTGTTTATATAGACCTAACCTAATTTCCTTTCAATAATATAATTGTCATGTAACAGGTGCATCATTAATTTCATTATATGTTAATGATTTCTGATAATTTTTACAATGAATAGTAATTGTGAAAATTAGTAGCTTTCATTAAATTTTGAATCGCCAACTACTAGGTACTATATGAATCTAGTAAGAACGTTCAGGAATGTAAGTTTTTCTTAATTCAAATAAGACACCTGTAACATTGAAGTATTAACTTGATAGCATCAGAAGCCATAAAAATCAACAACAATACAGTGAAAGAGCTGCATTTAAGTAACCACGCACTAAATCGATTTCACAATGAATCACAGTTTTTTTTTTCGCAAAGATAATGATCAGTAAGCGCGGTATCGGATGCCGATAGCGTGTTGGAACCGCCCTTAGAATCAGCTTTAAATACTTCTTGATTATAACGATGAATTAATCTTTATGAAACATGGATATTTTTATCTAGCGTGCAGTGACACTACACGCCTATGTAGTTTATACAATAACAGAAGACATTATCGGCTTCGTCATTCCAGTTTAGGCTTATCTACACATAAAAATTAGAATAGTTAAACTTACATTATAATAAGTAACGTTGAATTTCAAGTATTAATAACTTCAGCTTTCAGAGAACAACACCGTTTATCAAAGAATATACGTACAAAAGCGAATTACTTATTTGTAAAAAATCTATAGATCAAAAATGACAGTCGGGAGACGGCCGAAACGCTTCCGGTAGAGGTGGTAGGCAACTGTACTTCATAGATAACTTCCTCAAGTATCGTTTATTGTCTATAGTTTTTTATTAAAAAGTTTTTACTTTGTAAAATATTTAAATTGTGAACTAGAGATTTTAGTTTCCTTTATTACGTATTTTTTCTATTAAAAATTATGAAATATTTATAGCCACAGATAAAAATATAATAATAAGTGCTATAAATCTGAAATCTTTGATATTGTGACAGATTGAATAACCTTAAAATATATAAATATTAAAATATGTGACCAAAGTACACTAATTTATTATAGTTAGCTGTTATATTTTATCATGTTATAATATTTCCAACCAATTCAAAAGTATTTATACAAAATCCTAAAACCTTTTATTTGTGAGCTGGGGTCGATCCTAGCATATAATTCAGATGAATTTTCAACACCTATATTTTTATTAGTGTAATTTAAGCGTAGTAAATTAATATTTATATAATGCTAGTCGTTAGTTATGTTAGTAAGTATTCTTAATATTATTACTTGATATGTAATATTTTTTTTAAATACCAAGTACTTATTTTGTGCAGCATATCTAGATAATTTAATTTAAATATGCTCATATAATATTCAGAAAACTAAACTACAATCGGTGAAACCATTTCTAACGGGATGTATTTTAAGAAGATCTTGCTCCAATCAGACAAATGTAACAGATGAAGAAAAAGAAAGAGAAATTGAAAGGATTACAAAAAATGTGAGACTATTATATTAAAAATTTTATAATTTTTTATTAAAATATAACCTATTGCACATATTTTTTTTTAATATAAAGAGCATAAAGAAGTTTTAAAAACAAATATTTTTGGAAAATCTTTATTATTTAATTTAATTATTTATTGAATTTATTTTCAGGCATCTATTGACGAACCACCAACGGCATGTTGTAGATCAGGTTGTTCTAATTGCGTGTTCATTGTTTGGGCTGAAGCATTGGCTTCAAAAATGGAAAATGCTGGACCAGAAATCATTGATAGAATTATGAAATCTGTGGATGATCCATCAATGAGAGCTTATTTAGAAATGGAATTAAGACTACGAATGAAGAATAAGTAGTAAATGACTGTTTTATAATATTCTCTTTAAATTATTTATTAGTAAAAAAGTTTATTAATGTTTTTTATTAGAGGCAGTTTAATTTACAATATATTAATCTGTTGTTGTTATTTTACAAATTGTTATTTCAATAGGAATAGTAAAGTTTTAACAGTTTGTTAGTTGTTATAAGTGTTTGAGTAAATATGAAAATATAATTGTCAACATTTTTTTTATATATGGATAGCAATTTATAGTTTCTACATAAAATGAAGTACAGAACAAGAATTCTGAAAGTACTATAGAATATGTATGTAATATGTATATTGGTCCGAAAAGACATTAAAAATATATTCATATAATTTATTTAAGAAAAAAAGTGTATATTTATCAATCAACAGCAACATTCATTACATAATAAACACTGATTTACACAAAATATCCACCTAAATTTGATACAATTACAAATATTAGATATATTTTTATTATATTGACTAGACTAAAATTATTGACTAAAACTTTAGTAATTTGGTCATACATAAAAGTAGTCTAAAAGTTGCAAATTGTCTATGCTTAAAGTAATAAAGCCATTTGACAATACATATTTATATTATAATAAAAAAAGTTATAACAAAGCTATTTCAAAATTTAAAATACTAGCGATTCACCCTTGCTTTGCTCAGGTATGTCCCTAGGTTGATTCTCCATACAAATTTTCATCCCCATTTTCAATCCTATAAGTTATGATTTCCGGGGTAAAAACTATCCTATGTCACTCCCAGAGTCTTAAACTACCTTCTTTTTATTTAAATCAGTTCAGTAGTTCCAAAGATTACTTCCTACAAACAGACTTGCAAACTTACAAACTTTATAATATTAGTATGATATAGAATTAACCTTACCCTAAATAATTTATGGAGTTTTGACAGAAATATAAATTAAATTGTTCTAAGTTAATTTTATCATAGGTATACATACATTGACTGGACATTATTTACAATGATAGTGCTTGTATCATGAAGAATATAGACAAGGAGTTCAATCTTCATGAGATTTCATATGAGAAATTTTAGTCTCCTTAATCTGTGCTAAAATCAAAATTAGCTTGAATAAATAGATGTTAGTCTGCGAACTGTCGAACCATTTTATTTAATAAATATGAGTACCTACATTTATGTTAAATACCTATTGCATTATTTATATTGCTTTGAATCAAATAAATTTTACCTTGGTAAAAAAAGTCATAAAAAAGAAAGATGTATCCTAAGATGTAACCTACTTGATTGCTGATTTTTCAACTATCATATCAGTATAAATAGTAGTCCATACCGAATGGGCGCTCATTTGAACATTTGAGCGCGCTTTTTTTTGTGAAAACAACTAAGCGTTGCATTTAAATTTCATTTTTTTTTTAATTGTAGGTATATTTATTTCAACTAGAAAAATTACCTAAACACATTTGGTGACAGTTTTAAGAGAACTTTTGCAGGGGATTGTGTGTCTAGTACTTTTTTGATAATGGTGGTTATCATAAATTCAAAACATTATGATAAGCAAGTGAAACGACAGCGCAAATAGTAGGTACCTACTACCGACAAACGATGGAGAAGACAGGTTCTAGAGTGGAGATTTCATCTCGGCTCAAACGTAAGTATCGTACGTCCTCCATAAGGGGAAACGAAGATATATGTAAAGTTTTAAGTTGTTGGTAATGGTTGGATAGATCTGACGACCGCGCTCAGTTACGTGCCATAGAAGAGGCATAGGTTCAGCAGCACGAGGACAAAATAAAAATATCGTCAATGATTTGATTATGATGATCATAACAGTTATGACGTGTACTACACATTATTACACTTCTTAAATTCTAAATCTATTCTCAATTATAGACATTACATATTACATAGATATAATTCAGTCCCACTTCTTAATTTAATTGATTTATTTTATTCTAATCTTAATAATTAACTAATATTATCTATTGGCGGTAAACAGATTCCCTACCGGCAAATTCTGGAATATTGATAAAGTCCATAAAAAAGTAAGGGATCAAAGTGTCCACAGACTATATTAAGTAATAGCACTAATACACAAAGTAGTGCTGTAGACAGTTCTAAAAAGAGCCACTAGGGAAATCTACCACCAATAATACCATAATAACGCCAATTATAGTTGTAGTAATAGTATACGGTAGTATAGTAAGTAAGTAATGTCCTCCTGACCGATTCCGGCCACGGTGGCCAATCTCATTGCGACTAGCCAATTGCGCAGTAAATATTATAGTGCACAAGTGTACGCGCAGACACAAGTACACTCTTTACTCCTGCCACTCTAATACTCCGGAGTCCGGTGGGACGACACGAGACACGACCGGTGAGAGTTAAGGCGCAGGACCGACGGATTTACGTGTAAGCATGGAAATGATTGCTACTTTTAAATCATTATCACGTGATGAAATTACAACAATTTTTCACGTGATTTCACCTGCTACTTTTCACGCATAGATTTTTGATTTCGACGGTCTGGTGTCACACTTTATATTATTTGCTATTAAAATGAAGTATGAAATGTCACCAATGGCGCTACTGATGTGATATGGAGCAGAGATATAGATCTGACGTAGTTGCATACGTACATGGTGCTTTGAATGAACCTATTTTCAAACAATGAACTTTCCCTCATACTTCTACAGGCTTAGGACTGACAATGTAAAATTAAATGAATTTTAAATATATCAGAGTAATCACACGGTAAAATTGTATTAAGCTAAGTTCCATAATTACATTGGCGTATTTAAAAGTTCATTGTTTTTATGTACAATAAGAATTTTTATAAAAGAATTTTATACACTTTTTTTTTGTTTTTCTTAATTTTTTTAATTTGTTTATAATCATTTTTTTTGCTTTTTGATTTTTTGATGATTGATTTTTTTATGAGATATCTATATACAATAGTCTTCATTGCTTTTTAAAAATACAAGTTCCGCTGTTCGTTTTCTGCTTAATCGTGCTCTTTTTTGGGTTGCAAAATTTCCCGCTTTTGAAAATACTCTCTCACACTCCACTGATGTCACCACGATGTGACAGTGCTCATGAAATATTTCCGCCAAATTGGGGTACATATAGGAGTGAGATTTCCACCAAACTAATGGCGAAGAATCGCGCGGAAGCACTGGTTCATTAATAAACATTTCTAGCTCATTCTCAGCGTTGGTGGTTATGTCTGTACGTATTACACATAATCATTCAGTAAAAATTATAAGTATTTGTTGGATAAAAAACTAACAATGTGCTCTAAATTTAATTGTTGTTTCTAATTTAAAATTATTTCTAAACAATATTTCTAAGAATCCGAAATCATGCAACTCGAAATAAATAAACTCCCCAATTTACTGATCAACGGTATTAACTGAAAATTGTATTTTGTTGAATAAAAAATCAATAAAAACATCAGTACGAAAATGTATACGGAAAATGCGAGTAACGAAATGCATTCGTGAGTAACGTTTCGGTACTCGGTACTAGATGGCGTACCCGTTACTCAGTAACGAATACATACGGTTTGCTACAGCTCTAGATTTCACCAAGTTGTGATTTGTAGCAGCCACTATGAATTTAAGTAGCAGGTGTGACGCGTGATTACGCATTTCACGTGATTTTTCACTTGCTACTCGTGAAATGTCCCATCCCTATTTACGTGCTCTCCGAGGCACGGGAGTGAAACACCGCCAATTTTCAAACTCCGGGCTGTTACTGAGGCTTACTATACAATACAATATATAATAATAGTATACAGGCATTATGAGTATCTTCATATAAGATAGCTGTTACATATTGAACCAATGCACAATGTGTATAGTAGTAGAATAACATGTAAGTGTCAATAATTATGATAAACATCGATTGAAAGAAAACGAGCAGCTGTTCTATATATTATACATATTACCTACGTATGACTTATGACTCTTATACTAAAAATACTAATCAAGTTTGTGCTAATGATTTGTGCAGACCATTTACAAATTACCTATTAAGGATAATGGGCACATTAATTTTAATGTAATAGAAATTTATTGTAGTTAGCCAAATTTCTGTGGTCGCTGAACAAAATTAAGAAAATGGCTCCAATAAAGTACACGAGCCCTAATAAATAGACAAATTTTATAGAAGCGATAGTAGGACATTCATTGTTCAAAAATAGATTAATATCTAAAATTACTAATCTACAGTATACATAGCACCTTAAATACTAATACTTATGCCTACACTCTATGACTCAATATATAAATAGTTCTCTATGGTCTATAGCACTGATAATATTAATTAATACTTTTGTCTATGGCTATGAAGCTTAGTATCCATACTATTAATAATATCATAGTCTTTCCATTCTGTTTCTAGTCTTTCATGCACGTATTCTACTACATTTATTACATCTATAAGTAAATATATATGTAGATCTTTTTTGCAATCAATTTTTTTTAATATACTAAGTAGGTAGGCTGAGTCATGACATATTTTTTTCTTAAAACTTTGAAAGCTCACTAGTGATTATATTATTATAAAATATGAATGGATCCCAATTAGACGGAATTTGAAAAAAAAATACAGATGAAGCGTAGTACAAAATTCATTCCAATTTACCAAATAAAACCTATTTTGAAAATCTTAACGACACGTGTCATTTAGAACAAAACATTTGAATCCGACAATGAGAATTAAAACGGAACAGTTGACATTGATACCTTTTGAACTTTCAAAGATCAGTATCGTCAATCTCCTCAGAGTTCATAGGTTATACTCGAATCTGAACTACGCGAATATGACTCGTACTTCTCCAACAAAAATTTAAAGCGAACATTAGAAGGAGCACTTGACCGATAGTACATATTATATCCCCTTAACGCTTCATTCCTCGTGAAAGATATATATGTATATTTATATATAGGTAGTATTATTATATTTGTTTTATTCTTCTAACCCACATTTTAGGACGCATTACCTAAGTATTTTCATTATCAAGCCTTCTTAGTCAGACTTACACATTCATATTTAGGACGATAACAGTTAGGCCTTTTACACACGGCATTTTACACACCTAATTGATTATGTCAATAATTGTAAATTATATTAAGACTTAGAAACAATGTTAAACATCAAGATATACTTATTCTTTATTAATTATTATGTACCTACATATAGATACGGACACTTATAACTTATGTAATAATAAAAAATGGTATCCACAGTCAAAAAACTTACAAATTAAAAAAAAAGGTTTTTAAAGTCAAAGACAAATAGTTTTTTTTTGTTAATTGATTGTATACATAGACTATGAACGCAACAAATATGTTTTACCACTTGTCATTTCCAGCCGATCTTAACTTTTATCTAATTTCTAAACACCCTGCACCTATCGAAGTATTTGAAGACGAGTCCAGGGCACTTTAAACCTATCTTCGATTATAATTAATTTATGGTATATTAAATTTCAAATAAGTAGGTATGTATTTACCTGTTTATAAAAACACATATTTTGAATTTTATTGTTGTAACTCATTAAACTTTGAGATTTCACAGAGTATCATCTCATTTCGTACCTTTTTCGGCGGATTCCAATAATATATTTATCTGTAGTTACCTTTTCTGGTGAAAGGAATTTGACGTATTTTGTATGGAACTCATGCAAATTTTTTTTCTCTAATAAAAAAGAAGATAAAAGTGTTTTTTTTTTTATCTTTTTCACAGGCCATTCCACACATTATTTTTTACAGGTTATTGGCATCCGTCAAAAATAAAGATAAAGCTTATTAGTAAACCACTTTCTATATACCTGCCACACATCAACACTATAAAAAAGAACACAAATTACACAAAATGATTATAATGATAATCCAGACAGTACAAACGCTTCATTGCTGCCAATATCCTCTGGCGTTTCACTGCGTCTTCGAAGTCTTTGTCTTGCCTAACTTTGACCTCCCTATCTTTAAACACCCTGTACCCATCCAAGTATTTGAATAGATAAGTCTTCACAGTGGGTTAACGTCAATCGCAGAATGTCACAGCAGGTGCGGAGTGATGGTCGCGGGGCGGGACGATGCACGCACACGCTGGGAGCGCGGGTGCGGATAGTGCAGGGCACAGGGAGCCGCAGGATAAGCGTGCACGGTCCCTTAAGTTTGTTGACCGCGAGTTGAATATCGTGTCCGCCGGTTGGAAGTATGGATCTGATGGTGGGATGTTAAATTAATTGACAGTTTAAATAGATAATTATTTAATGTAATAGATATTTTATCATTATTTACGTGATGATGTGGCATAACATAGATTACTAGCATTGCTCGCGGCTCAGCAGTTTTTCTGTGATGCGGTAACAGACAGACAGACAAAAATTCTAAAAACTATAGATTCGGCCTCTGTATCGATAATAATGTTTATTTCAATAAGATTTTCCAAAAAATATGTAATGTACAGATTCGGCTTAATTACAATTTTATTGTACCTATGTATAGATTACTATTAATATACGTATGTATAAGTCGCCGAATAAGTTAGTACCTACACTATCAGCTATCAATCGTCCTTTTTCAAGCCATTCTTTAGGCCTTAAGGCTTTTAGAAAATTGGTAATATTATTTAAGTATACATAGGAACTTATATGTTTAGCGTAACTCAAAAAGTACCTACAATTTAACTTCTAACAGAAATGTTCAAAATCAAATAAAAAAATTCGCGCAAGTGGAGCCTCTATTAATGAAACGGGAATTAAAAGAGAGAAATGGTAAGTTTCATACAAACTTTCATCTGCTATTTTATTCCCTTGTGGGATGAATTTCGGAAAATGCTAAAACACGTAGGTACTTATTTAATTAATTGTATAGAACAGCATTTATACCAAGTTTCAAGGAGTGCTGATAGTAAATATATTTTTTGAATTGTATTATAACGTGTTTTCCCGTGAGAAAGAGATAATCTCCTGCGTAAAAAGTAAGCAGTAAAAAGCATTCTCCAGCGCTATAACTATCTCCACACAAAAAATCACACCAATCCGCTAAGCCGTTTCGACGTGAAAGAAAGACAAACAAACAAACAAACAAACAAACAGACTAGCACACTTTCACATTTATAATATTAAGTATGCAAATGATATTACCTATTATAGACTTCTTTTTAAATGAAAGAGGAAAAGAAAATATAATTTGAACAAACAAACACATCTACCTATATAATTGATATGTTAAAATTATTATTTTTGAGCAATATTTGTATGTTCAATACAAAAGTTTAAATACCCATTATATTTGCATCTAGTCATGAATTCCATACTTACTATCATGCATAAGCGAATTTTTTCGCCGTTCATGGTCTTCACCTACAAGCCACCATGTCCTCATTTCTCCTTTGCCCTGAAAATAATAAAAGTTTAAACATAGGTACCATGCCATCTTTAGAATTGCTTAGATAAAATCATAGAACACTTAAAACTTAATCTAGACGACACAACGTGTGCTGTATCTACCAATGATTAATTTATTTGCTATCTTTAGTTACTAGTATATATTCTATATAATATATAGAAAATAGAACAATATTGTAAATATTATATAAAAAATATAAAAATATTGTATATATTATATTATTATATGATCTGTGCTTTTAGCTTTAGTAGGTACCTATTTGAATCTTTCAACTCCTTCCCAACTTCCTTCCGTTTTCTTACTACATATGTATGTATGTATTATACGTGTTATTCAGAACATTGTCCACTTTTATACTAAAAGCCTTCGATTTAATTAACATAGTAGTATCAAGGTTTCTAGAATTGAGCTTTTTTGACTTATCAAAAATAAATATGGAGGTATATAATGAGGATTGAAATTCTGCTAAACTCATTGTTATAAATGAATACGATAAGTTCTTTTTATATGTAAAGTCAATAGTATTTGTATTAAGGCATCATTCGTCTCTTTAGATTGCATACTGGAGAAGTTTCATGTCATTGTTAATATCATATTAATTAACATATACATCATTTATTACAACAAATTAAAATATATATCATTTTGCTATATTTCTTGCAAAAAATTGTAATTCCTTAGCCTTGATTTGGTCTAAATTATCTATCAGTTTACCAAAGTAAAGATGAAAGATTCTAATTATAGCCCTAATCTCAGACTTATTTTCTTTGTCATAAATAATTTTAGCCAAATAATAAGTTAAAGTAAAATCAATAATACTATCTAAACTCAAATCTATACATATAATAACATTTTTACTAAGCCAAATCTGAATATTAAAAATAAAATAAAAATCTTATTGAAATAGCATGTCTAAGATCCACTGTATCGATAATAATGACTATTTCAATATGATTTACCAAAAAATATTTGATGTACAGATTCGACACAGTTATAATTTTACATAAAATACATAAATCTTTAATCTCCTCAAAGTGTATTGCATATTTTAATAGATCTAAGTGCTAGATAGTATTAACGACTTAGGTACGCTGTTTTAGGACTTGTCACTCTAAATATTAAATATTCTAAACTAGCTTTAGTCCGTGGCTACACCTGCGTGATTTATTTACGTACTACGTTTAAACCGCGGCTCTAAACAGAATTCAAATCGTACTAGTAATTTCAGAGACCAAACAAACAAAACAAACTCTTCATCATTATAATATCTATGGTAGAGTTTCTGTCGCCAGTTCTTCATAGGACTGAGGATTTTTCTTTCCGAACTGGTGGTAGACGGACGTTTAATGTATACATGTAATAAAATTTTAACAAAGCCGAATCTGTACATTAAATATTTTTTGGAAAATCTTATTGAAATAGACGTTATTATCGATACAGAGGCCGAATCTATAGTTTTTAGAATTTTTGTCTGTCTGTCTGTTACCGCATCACGGAAAAGCCACTCGAGGGAATTTGATGAAATTTTGTATGATGATAGCTGGTTATCCGGGTCAACATATAGGATACTTTTTACCGCGGGAAAATATCTCATTTTTGAGAAAAAATACAAAAACTGCCTTGTAAGAGTATACTAATATGTAAAACCTAAGACATTTTTGGTAATCTAAACGCAGGCGGAGCCGCGGGCAATGCTAGTAAATTATAATTATAATAATAATTAATGCTGAAAAAAGTATTTTGATTGCGTATTTGAATTATTATTTGATACCTTTATATTAATCATTCCTCGTTCCTTGAACCGATATCCACCGTGTTGTTTCAATAACTTATAAGTGTCATGGCTGATGTGTATCTTTTCTGGTTCCCCAGTCGACTCCATCCGAGCGGCCGTGTTCACTGTATCCCCGAATAGGCAGTATCTTGGCATTTTGATACCCACCACTCCAGCCGCGCACTGTCCACTATGAATGCCTGGTGGAAAATTCAAATTATAAAACAGTTTTTTGGTATGTCTGTCTGTTACGCGTTCCTAAACAATTTATTCTCAAGGCATGCATGCACCCGAGCGAAATGAAGGTAAGCGGCTAGTTTTAAATTTTAAACAAAACTATTTTTTCATATATTTTTGAACAAACTTAGTTATGTGAAACATCTATCTCATAAAAAAATAATATTTGAAACTAAGCGCTTCGCTAAGGTGCGTTTTAAATAGATATATGCAAATACTAAATAGCCAACATTAATCGTCATTTTTATTTTATTTTTGCGATTTTTTCCGGTTTTTTAATAGTTATTCTGCTATTCCAGGCGGAGAAAAATCCAACAAATCAAACATAAAAATCGGTCCAGCCGTTCTTGACTTATAAATGGTGTAACTAACACGACTTTTTTTAATTATACCTATAAAATAGATGTAAAATATTTTCGTAAATCTTAGAAAGTATTAGTGTTTTTATATACTAGTGCACGTACTATATTTATTCTTATAACATTCTAAAATCCTATGAAAACCAATTTATTTACAGGAATAAAAACAACTCTTACAACACCCCCCAGTACATTAATTATTAATAAAAACTTGTTAGTTGTATTTAGCCCTTTTTCAAGTCCTACTGCTGGGCACGGGCCTTCAATACGAGGGGGGTCAGGCCATAGTCGACCACGCTGGCCAAGTGCGGGTTGGCGGAATTGTTAGTTACAGATTAAAATTTCAAATTACTGCACCCAACAAAACAGTTTATAAAAAATCTTATGTCCATCATTTATAGATTAGCAAATTGTTCAACTAGAGCCACTACTATAAACAGTAACCCCATGACTATACCATAAAAACGACCTTACTTATATAAACATCTATACATAAATCGAATTCACGACCTCTTATATCACATAGCAAATGAAATCAAAAACTATAATATGTGTTTTACCTATTCGAATATGTAATCTGGCAGCTGGCATATGCCTCATTCGTATTTTAGGCACGGACTCAAGTATATGGAGGGCTAGTGAGGCGACTTCAGCCGCGTGTCTCGAACAACGTTCTGGTAAGCCTCCAACTACCATATAAGCATCACCTATTGTTTCCACCTATATGAGTTAAAACAATAGCATTAATATATTTCAATAATTATTATTGTAATATAGAAATTTAGTTTTAAATTATTAATAATATATAATTTAAACTATCTTTTCGGATTTTGTCGCGGCCATGGAACGGAACATGGTCAAAAGAGACGTTGACGAGAAGGTGGACCCAATCAATACATACGAGTACATATTATAATATTCTGAGTCAAATACGTACATTAAATATTTTTTTGGAAAATCTTATTGAAATAGTCATTATTATCGACACAGAGGCCGAATCTATGGCTTTTAGAATTTTTGTCTGTCTGTCTGTCTGTCTATCTGCCTGTCTATCTGCCTGTCTGTCAGGGAACGCATCAAAAGAAAGCCACTGGATAAACTTTAATGTATGGTGATAACTGATTATTCGAGTCAATATATAGGGCACTTTTTAATGCGGGAAAATATCTCACCTATGAAAAATTCATACTAATCGTTAAAGGGAACCTAGGGACGAACCCAAGCGGAGCGAGGGTGAGTCGTTAGTAATCAAAATAAAATCAAGAAAAAATCCGAAAAGATAGTTTTAATCAAAAGCTTTACCACTTAATGTTACAATAAATCATTTAATGCAGCAAACAACCTATAGGTATACCTATACAGAAAACAAATATATTATGTTCGAGTAAGAAATAATAAGTAATCAAAGTAAAATCAAATTCTATAATCATGAACAATCTTCAGTGTGTTTTTCGCCATTATATACGAAATTCGTTAAAAGCATATGCTTAACAAAACTCTTACACGCCATTCTTATTGAAAAAGCAATTTGAATCAATTATAAACATTTTTTTTATATTTACGTATTTTACATATAAATGATCTATAAACTGAGGAAAAGATTTTTCTCTTTCATCGCTATATGAGTGTAAATTTAATTAGTGTAGAAATAAGGATACAAGTTTATTTTTAACCGACATCCAAGGAAAAAGAGGGGGTTCTATGTTCGTCTGTATGTATCTTTTTTTTAAATATATTATATACGCAAAGATCAAAATACTCCAACCTTGATTTAATCCATTTTATTGTATTCTAAGCAAATTATTTAGCTTTAGTGTAACTTGCGTTCTTGAAATTGACTTTATTATTAAAAGTGAGTGTTTTTCTTTACTAATAAAATATATTCACAAATCGTACTGACCTTGTAAACGTTGTAGTATGAGATGATTGCATCGCAGCACGTGTAAAGATCGTTGAGAATTTCCACAATCTGCAACGATAAATTTACGATATTTTAAAATATTTACACCACTCACTAATAGAACCGACGAACATAGTATGGAGTGTTAGTTAATCGATTTGAGTGTTTTAAAAATAATTTATGGAAGTAAAGATATCATATTAACACGATTTTATATTGTACTAGCAACTCACCCACAAAAATACAAATCTTTCCTCTTTATAACAGTAGTGTAGAATTGTAGATATACTTACTCATAGATTCACTTGTGACATATATAAATATATAATACATGTGGAATATGGAGGAAAATGTAAGAATTTGATATCAATGAATTGATCTTAACGATGGAACCTCCATCTCGTTAGTGGACAGAGAAACTCATGAACTCTAATACAATAACCACTAGTTTTCCCTATTGCAGTAGTTAGTTGAAACGCGTGTTTTTGGGGTTTTTTATTGTATTTATTTTAAACTAACGGCTTACCCTCGCTTCGCTCGAGTTCGCCTCTAGAAAAACAAAAACAAATCTATCCCTCGAGAACTGTATATTTTTCCGGGATAAAAAGTAACCTACGTGTTTTTCTAGACTATAATCTATATTTATGCCAAATTTCATCCAGATCCGTTCAGCCGTTCTGGCGTGAAAGAGTAACATACATACATCCATACTCACAAACTCTCACATTTATAATATTAGTATAGATGATTAGTTTAGATAAATACCATGGTAAGCTATACGATGTGAATCTTGATATTGACTTTGTAAATATTTGATTCGGTTACGACCAAGCATCCGTGCAAATGTTAGTTTTGGTTATATTTGATTGAACGCAAAACTTTGAGGATCGTCTAAGTTTACATACAAGTGCGACACAGATATAGAAAGAAAGTAAATAAGTAATGATTTTACTATTAGTCCATTGTACATCTTTTTTTTTAATGCTTTAGTTAGTGTTAAAATTTATATAATCACTGTATCGACATGTAGGAATATGATGGTACCATGTAATGATAGATGAAATTGTGGATTAATAAGGATATCAACCTACAACTTCATCTACAACTATCGAACATTTTCAATTCAATTCAATTCTTTTGTTTAATGGATTCCAGGAATGCCAGTTGGGCACAATTTACTTCTTCAATGTCGCGGAGAATGGAGCACTTTATATTAGTGGAGAAACAAGTTAGACAATTGTCAACGACTTGTCAAAAGGAAATTTACCTATAAATTATACCTACTTTAAAAACGTCAAAAGTCTTAAAATCTTTCCTGCGTTCATTTTTACTGTAATTGCATTCGAAAAGTCGGGAACCAAAATGTAAAATAAAACCATGAAGAAATTAAAAAAAAACATTCAAAATGTCAAGTATTCACGTAATTCTTCAGAATTTATTATTTTTAGTAGAATGTTTACATAAAACTGAATAGATTACAGCCACTCTATGTACGTAAGCGAAAAGCTCTTTCTTGTTCATAGAATGTAAATTAAAAGCTCTTCAAAAGCGTTTTAAACTGTAGAAAATAGAACAATGTAATATATTTTAAAGCCTTTTTAAGTAAAGAGTGTGTTGTCTATTCAAATTAAAAAGAAAGTTTGATTGTGTTATAATTCTCTCGTAATGAAATTCTTTTTGCGTGGTTTTCTTTTGTACAGGAAACTTTATCGTGCTCGACGTTGAATATTCAATTAAGTACTTAACTATTATTTAAATTACTTAAAGTAAAAGTACTTATTTACTTTATATATTTGTCTATAGCATATTTTATAATTTGATATTGCTATAAACGAGTATTATTTCTCTTAGAATGAATAGGACGATAAAAAATGGGTACTATTTTACATTTAATCACACTTTGCCATTTTAACAAGTGGCCATTCTACATTTTTTGAAGAATAGAAACTAGTAATTGTATTATCTATACGTACGTTTTAGCGTATAGTATGAAATACAAATCTTTGAATCTCTCGGCTTTTCTGTACTATAATGTGCATGTATTATACATATAAATCTTTCTCTTTAATCACTCTCTCTATTGCTGAAAACTGCATTAAAATCCGTTAAGTAGCTTAAAAGATCTAAGCGAACAGACAGCGGAAGCGACTTCATTTTATACTAAGTAAAGAACATTATTTCTATTTCATTCGATTTCTATTCTCTATTTATTTCTCTATCGTATTTTCTCCTCACTTCAACATTGGCGAAGTAAATTACACAAAACTGGCTCACCTAAGCCACTCTCAAATTCTTACCCTCATAATAAATTTTCTATAGGACTATCTGTTGATTATTTCGAATTAAAGAAACCAATGAACCCAGCCATTTTCTTATTTATAAAAGTAATAAAGTAAAATAATAATAACTAGCATTGCCCGCGACTCCGCTCGCGTTCAGATGACCAAAAACCAAATTCTTAGGTTTTACATATTAGTATACTTTTACATTGCAGTTATTTTTCTCCGATACGAGACATCTTCCCGCGGTAAAAAGTATCCTATATGTTGACCCGGATAACCAGCTATCACCATACCAAATTTCAACAAAATCCCTCCAGTGGTTTTTCTGTGATGCGGTAACAGACAGACAGACAAAAATTCTAAAAACTATAGATTCGGCCTCTGTATCAATAATAATGTTTATTTCAATAAGATTTTCCAAAAAATATTTAATGTACAGATTCGCCTTAGTTACAATTTTATTATATGTATAGATAAAAGAATATAAGGTAAGTTAGGTAAAATACACAATATACAGCATGTATTTATTTAACTTCATAAAAAAGACAAAGATCAATTTACTGGTAAAAGATGACAAAAGACAGCTTTACAGTTAAAATTAATGTTATTTCTAAAAATATCCCAGATAGAAGTTTCATGGACCAAAAATATTTTTATAAATTAAAATTGTTATTTTTTTCGTTATTTAATAACTTTTGATCTAGCCTCGTTTACTTTTTTGCAATTTCAGCTTTGAATTAAATTTATTTCTTAAAAAAATACAATTTTCTTACTAAGAAATATTACTTTACTTGGTTATCTTTTATAAAATAAATAGCCATTAAGTACTTAATATATAAAAATAGAGTTGTGGGCATTACAAAATATTTTTACCTAAAATAAATATGGGAGCGTTATGATTATATCTAATATATAAAATTCTCGTGTCACGGTGTTTGTAACAAAATCGATTCTTATGAAATTTTGTGTCTAAATTCAGTAAGTCTGAGAATAGGACGTAAACTATTTTTCATATCCCTAAGTGATAAGGGTGGTCCACCCCAAATTTTATTTTTTATTTTTTGGACAATTTTTTTTATGTCAACTTTTTTATGATTCGGCATTAAAAATACATACAACCTTAAATTTTCACATCTATACTATCATCATTTATATATAAATAGGCAAAGACAAAACAGTTTAGTACCATTTTCTCCTCTGTTCGTCAACTAATTTTCGTTTTTGTTTGTTAAAAAACTTTTGGAAGCAGTTAGTTTTTTTTATATTTTCCTCAAATTTTCAGTACCGTTTTCCTCAATTAATTGGACATCAATAATGATAATTACCAAATTTCAACCATTACCCGAACACTAGTAAGACATAATAACTTTAAATTTTATTTATTTCAAAGTTGGTAAATTTTGTCATAAGTGAGTCTGTACATCCTTTTTCGTGTTCTATACAAGTTTATGTTCCATGATACCAACCATAAAATACAAATTGCATTCGATCTAACATCTCCTGAGGTTCCAACTTTAGCAAACTTTAAGAACGATCGTACTTTTAAAGTGGTGTTGGGATGCTTTTCAATAGCTTTCTCGTTTAGAGCTTTATGTGTTAAATGTAAAGTGCAATAGGGACTTTAAGTTCTTACGAAGACAACACTGTGAGTTAAAAAAATATATAATTGGTTCTATGTTAATATTTATACTTATATATTAAATGAAGAGCCTATCGATCATTTAGAAATATCTACCCCATCTTAAGTTTGTGTTTATATGTGTGTGTATGTCAACAAGCAGAAGGCCAAAAAGCTAGATATCTTCTGAGACCATGTTTGCTGTAAAGCATCTATAAAATTAAAATATAATGTGATATCCGTAAAGATAGATAAGTACTTTATTTCGCACACAAAATAACAGTACAGAAGATAAAGATAATAAAAAGGCATGGTTTTTTTATGGTACTTACTGACAAACGAGCAGACAGACTACCTGATGGAAAGCGGCATCTGTCTCCCATAACACCTACGGTTCATGCAACTTACATTTTATGTAACAATGCATAACCTGAGGTGCGTTGTCACTGTGAGGACTAAGATGGTAATTGTGCTGGCTACCTTATCCTTCAAACCAGAAAACAACAATGCAACCATTGTTTCTTGGCGGAAGAAATAGATCAGAGTGTTAGTGGTAGCCTTCTACCACAGGGTGTGGAAGGGAAGTGGTAAAGGGTGGTACCCATTCAATCAGACTCCTCAAGCTTGACAGAATCCTTCCACCGGTGCTCTTATTGCTATGGCCGAAGAGCAGTCTTTCAACACAAGCTTTGGTGAAAGGATAAAATAACGGTAAACGGAGCAGTGTAAATTGTATGCAATGTAATAATAACAATAAAGTTCTCCTGACTCGTCTTACTGAGTCTAGCAAACTGTGTGTGAGATATTATAGTGTACAAGTGTACGCGCAGACACAAGTGCACTCTCTATTCCTGTCACAATTAAACTCCGGTAGGACGACAAATCGACACGACCGGTGAGAGATCAGATGTCGGACTGGCTCACATCGCCATTTTCACAATTCCAGGATGTTACTGAAAATTTCTTAATAGAAAAACTGAATAACTAAACTTGGCCCGATACTAAAATCGAATCTAGAATCTCCGGATCTATAGCCGTACATGCTAGCCAGTAGATAACAGAGGCAGTTAAAACGTATTAGACGGTCTCATAGAAATGTTTAGTTAATAAATATCTTGTTTCGATTGTTTTATACAACACTCAGACCAAACCGCCAGATTTAAAAGAGTAAAGTGTTGATAGCTTATTTACCTATATATATATTTTTTTCGGTGTATAGTTTTATGTGTCAAATTAAAAAAAAATAAAGACAGCCAGACAAAACCTGAAGATGCAGATGCGTATCTGCTGAAATAATGTGACAATTTAAAAACAATGTAATGATCAAGGTTTTTAGAAATCGGGAAATTCGGAAAAAACCTGAAAGCGCACTTTTCTATAGGACTATAGTATGAACTCAACGATCACAAATAAAATGGTTTGGACAAGACAACATCTATTGAGTCGCTCGTATTAAATAAATTTAGCTTAACAAAAGGTATATTTGAATATTATTGTTCAAGTAAAAGGTAATGGATCTGAGTTTCATATACAAAAACTAAATCTTTTATGAGATATAAGAAAATAGGCTAAGATCTTTTATTTATTGTTCATGAATAACTAGCGGCTCACCCTCGCTTCTCTCGGGTTCGCCTTTAGACAAACAAAAAATAAATCTATCCCACGAGAACCGTACGTTTTTCCGGGATAAAAGTAGCCTATAAGTGATTCTGATGTATGACTAAATTATTGTAAAGTTTCATTAAAATCCAATCAGTAGTTTTTGTGTACTAAGCTGTACAAGTTACTATAGTTTTTTAACTATCTCACGGGAACTCTTTAATTTTCCGAGATGAAAAGTATCTGAAATGTTGATCGGGGATATAAGGTACTACTATGCAAAAGTTCACTTAAATCGGTCCAACGGTTTCGAAGATTAGCCCGTACAAGCAGACAAACAGAGAAACAAAAAAATTGAAAAAAAATTGGATTTGTTCTATTTCTCTTCTTACATCCCCATGACTTGGTTTTTAGCATTTTTTTCTATGTACAGACATTCGACCTCTACAGTTTTATTATATGTATGTATAGATACTGGGGTAGATCTATGTTTATATTTTGAGAACTTGAGTTTTCTTTATGCCATATATTTATTTATTGGGTAAAAAGCCTGTTTCTTCATTTGTATAGCATTTATTTTGTAATTTTTACTATTATTATAGCATGTAGTATTGTGTGCAAAAAATCGATAGGGTCGTCCCTTATGAATATTTATTTTCTTTTAGCATTGTGTTTTATTTTAAGCTACGTAAAATGTGCTTGAGCTACAGAAATTAACTTCGATACACTAATGGCAGGCCCTAAAATATTATGATGAATAGCAAAATTACATTTTTTGTTCTAATTCGATTTATTTTTGTAGCTTCTTTAAATAATCAAATATTTTGTATAGAGATTTAAACACTGACATGAAATATTTCTTTGGTTATATTTTTTTTTTATTTTGAGTTCTATCGTTGACGTCAGATCTACGGCCGAGCTTTGAATTTGACTGAGCTTTATATTCATCACTATGGGTTGTTAGGGTGTTTGGGCTTAAATGAAAAGACCTACAATAAAAGACTAAGGGAAGTCGGATCACGCGATTATTTTTCTATAAATATAATTTTCAATAAAACTGTATGAAAAATATTTTTTGTCGAAACGAAATAATTTTTCGTTTGATCATAACACGTAGGTATTTTTATTAACAGTACCACCGACTCACCCTCGCCTCTACCCGAATAAACAGTTATCATCAAAACAAATTTCATCAAAATGTATCCAGTGCTTTTCTCGTGATTCGTTCCCAATTCCGTTCCGTTTCTCTTAGATTTTTTGTCTATCTAGACAGACAGACAAAAAATCTAAAAGCTTTATCGTTAATAACGACTATTTCAAAAAAACATTTAATGTACAGGTTCGGCTCAGTTACAATATTATTATATGTATAGATAAAAGTATATATTGTGTTAGGGATAGGTATATGTAACTAACTTAAAGTGAATATTATAAGTATTAGCGTCTCACCCTCGCTTCGCTCGGGTTCGTCCCTAGCTTGATTCCCCATACAAATTGTCATCCCCATTTTCACCCCCTTAAGGGATGATTTCCGGGATAAAAATATCCTATGTCCCTCCCAGGGCCTCAAACTATCTTCTTACCAAATTTCATCTAAATCGGTTCAGTAGATCCAGAGATTACCCATAAACTCACAAACTTCACCTGTTTACAATATTAGTATAGATAACAAAGTTGTTTATACAAATAATTAAAAAAATGAGGATAGAACTTTTTATCGCGGAAATCATCCCTTAAAGGGGTGAAAATGGGGATGAAAGTTTGTATGGGGAATCAAGCTAGGGAGGAACCCGGGCGAAGCGAATCACTAGTTAGATATTTATGACATGTGTTACAGAGACATTTACGAATAAGAACAAATTTATTGAATAACAAAGTTGTTTATACAAATAAAAATATTTATAAATAGATTTAATTTAATTACGTATTTAATAACTAGTGTTCGTCCAGTGGCCGAAATTCGACCATAAATATTATTGGAAATTTGAGGGAAACAACAAAACTTCTCAGCAGAATTACCTTTCGAGCTTGGTAGCTTTCTCATGAATCGACTACAATCACCGTCTTTAAATTACATAAATTGACGATTTACATGTGCTTGTATACGTTCGAATGAAGGTAATTTTCATTTTATTTCATAACTAAATAAACACGTAGCTAGTTAGATGTAAAACTTGTGTTATAATTTAAGTTTCTACACGGCATAGAGCCGCAGGCAAAAACTTCTAGAGAGTAAGTACCTGCATTGGAGTATTCATTGCTGCCAACTTCGTGAAGCCAACGATGTCACTAAAGTAAATTGTGACGCAATCGTAGCTCTCTGCTTGGACTGGTTCGCCACGTTTCAAAGCCTCAGCTACTGTCCTGTACAAAAATTGTTTTTTTTTATTAAATCCTTACGTAAATCGGCAATTATAAATGTGAAAGTTTGTATGTTTGTATATGTGTGTGTTACTTATTCACACTGAAATGGCTGGACAGATTTAGATAAAATTTAGCACAGTTGTCATACACCTCTAAGACGACTCCTGGCGAAGTTAGGAAATGTAGCTAGTAATGAAAAAAATGGTATCATCCAAAAAAAAAGGTACACAAACAGCGCCAGACTAATGATATTTCTATTCTAAGTAGCTTAACCATATATAGTTATGAGTTTGAACTAATGTCTATCATTAGAAGTCCCTTGTTTATTCAATACGCATTAAAGTGAATCGTATAATTTAAATTAATCTCATTCAAGAGGCAATAGATTGCACTGGATAGTAATAAATTTATTCATTATCCTTATTCATAATACTTATTCAGTACCTATCGATGCACAGTCGAATGCGTATGAGAAAATCTTTATATCAAAGTAGCACGCCTAGATATGCTTGACATTTTTTTTCAGTTCCTTGTTCTTCATTTTAAAAGAAATTGGCAAAATAATCTGTGCCCAACTGGTATACCTAAAAGCCTAATAACAAAGGATTGAATTGAATGTTGCTTGTTTTATCAACCGAATTCCTCAAAAAGGAGGAGGTTCTCAATTCGGGTGTATTTTTTTATGTTTGCTACCTCAGAACTCCGTCATTTATTAACGGATTTGGACAATTTTTGTTTTGATTGAAAGGGTATTATACTTCCATTTAAATTTCAAAAAAAAAATTCCACCCCTAAGGGTGGAAAAACAGCTAATGAAAAATTTAACCGTAAACGAAGTCGGTGCCGATACAAAGCAAAGCACACCGACTTCGAAAATATTTGATTAGGTATGTATAGTAAATGAAAACTACCAATTAGTTATTTCTTACTTTTTAGTGCTTTTGTTTGAAGTCGGTTTTTATTTTTTTGTTAAAAAGTTTTTATAGATTATAGATACTGTTGAACGCACTATGGTCGATAATTGACCATAATTCATGAAGTTTGAACATTATCGAAGTTCTATTCTCAAAGTTATATATGTAAATAGCCTTTAACCTTCCTCAATAAATGAATTATAAAATGCAAAATGTTTTTTCAACTCGCACTCACGACGACACGTTTGGCTCAGTGTGTGGTGCCCTACTTGCTGTGCCAGCGGTCGCGGGTTCGAGTCCCGCTGGGGACATTCATTGTGTGATGAGAACGAATGTTTGTACTCTAGTCATGGGTGTTTGTATTTATGATATGTATATATTTAAAGTTTATATACGTGTAGTGTATCAACTATCCGGTATCCATAACACAAGCCTCGAAGCTTACCATGGAACTAGATGGTGCTGTGTGTTAATGTCTCAACAACATATTATTAACATATTATCAACATATGTAGTTCCAGAGAGACATAGTTCGGGAGAGACAAGCACTCTACAGCTTTATATATTAGTAGTTATAAAATTATAAAGAGGGATTTTGATGAAATTTAGTATGGTGATAGTTGGTTAACCGGGTCAACATATAAGATACTTTTTACCGTGAGAAAATGTCTCATTTCTGAGAAAAAATACAAAAACTGCAATGTAAGAGTATATTAATATTTAAAACCTAAGAATTTGGTTTTTGGTCATCAGAACGCGGGCGGAGCCGCGGGCAATGCTAACTAAGCCATCACATGCTAGAATTAATTTTGTGGATCAAATTATAAAACTGAATATAAACAACGTGGCCCAAATATCTGGATCAAGAATGGAATAAAATTGTTATAAGAATTCTAAAAAACATATGACATATAAAATAAAAACAAATCATTTACAATTCTAACACGATAGTTTAAAAGATAGAATGTATGTATATTGTATAGAAATAATCTTGTGGAGATGATACTTTTATAATTTATAATTATATTTAAGGCAAGAATAAAATGAAAACTCATATTTTCTACAATAAAAAGATAAAAAATATAGATATAGATATAAAAATCTAAATTAAGAGAACAACAATGAACTTACAATGTAAGAAATGAACTGAAATGAAATGAAAAAACTTTTTGTGTCACAAAATTATGAACTGAAATTAAATTTGGACCATCTAAATAAAAATAGAGACAAAAATTGAACAGTAAGAACAAATTGGTTCGAATAATACAGTTTTAGTTCAATATCAAAAAAGTTAATAGAATACCAAAGGAATTTTTATGATAAATACGATTGTAATTTTCTGTACATATTTTAGATTTTATTACGTGTAATATAAACTAGCGACTCACCCTCGCACCGCTCGGGTTTGTCCCTAGGAACGTTTCACGGTTAGTATAGATTTCTCAGAGATGACATATTTTCTCGCAGTAAAAAGTATCCTATATGTTGACCCGGTTAAACAACTATCATCATATCAAATTTCATCAAACTCTGTCTAGTGGCTTCTCATGATGCGTTCCCAAAAAGACCAAAAATTCTAAATACAGTATCGATAATAATGACTATTTATATTACATTTTCCAAAAGACATTTAATGTACAGATTCGACTCAGTATTTTATTATATTATGTAAAGATAATTAAGTTTATTTTAGAAGGTATAAGGTAGAAGGTTGGCAAATTTATTGTGAGAGCAATAGAACTCCCACACAGTCTGGGACATAAATACAATATTCATTCATAAAGTAAAGGAAATGATCCAGTAAAGTAGATTTAATCAAATAATGACCAATTATACAAAAAATTGTTACAAACACACAAAACTGATGTTCTATTTTGAGAATTCTGTAATATGTTTGTACAGCATCCTTATCATATATTTTGAATATTAAAAAGAGATGAAAGAGTTTTTATTTTTTGTTGATTTACCTGTTACAGATATTTTTGTATGAGTGATATAGCCCTCCTTATATTATTATACGTATGTGCATGATCTGTGTAAATAATAAAATTATTAGTCATAATTATGTGTACATTTGTTATGTATATATGTATGAATAAATATTTTGTAACTTCTATGTATTTCCTTTATTGTAAATAAATATAGAAAAAAAAAATATATTAGTAAGACAACTCTCACCTTGGCAACATTCTGTTAAGTAGATCATCAGTGCGCCTTTTCTCTTGCAGGAGTTGTTCCGTCCGAGCTGTCACAAGTCCCTCCAAGTTTGAAGCGTATTTCTCCATCATAGACAGCATGTTATCGAAAATATTTGTTTTCCTATATAATAAAATATAAGTGCGTAAAAATCACTACAGTCGTTGATACCGATTTAACTAGACGACAGTAAATAAATAAATAATATAATAGAATATATTACGTACATTCCAGCATGCATATCTTTTAGTCGGAGTCTGACAAGACGAACGTCTGGTCGTCGATCTGGTCGCTCGCTCCAACAAGACTTTAAAACGACCAATACTGATGGTCGAGCTGCTAGTCCGCTGAGTGGTGGTCGGAATAACACACCTCCAATTGGTTGTCGTACTCTTCCAATAATTTCTGAAATAATGAAATTATGTAAGAAAAATAGTATTATTGATGATTACATTTTAACATATGATGCAAGAGTAAAGTTCAATGATTGTTTTTCCCAATAACCTATCTGTATATGGCCCTTACTAGAGATAGGAATTTCACATAATTTGTATGGACTTTATGGCAAATGTCTATATTTAATAGGGAAAATCACAAATATATATGATACTGGTATTTGCCGATAGAGGAGAGCTTTGGGGAGGTTGAAAGATTAATTCAGACCAACTACCTACTGAGTAATTATAGACCCTTATCTGATTTACAGTCATGGCATAATTCCATAGCTCACATACGACTTGTTTAGCAGTCATCGGATATCATACTCGTATAATAAGAATATACGCAAACACAAGTGCTTACTATTTTCTTATATACATGTCTTGATGGGAAGGTAATCCCATATATCTGAAATAAGATCTGGCGTAAGAACGTCGGTTTCACGTACCGTGTTAGATTAAAATTTCATCGAAATCTTACTGACACTTGGCTCTGAGTTATAAAGAAAAAATATGACAACGAAAATAAAAAGAATCTAAAACGTGAAAAGTAACTAAGTGAAAAGTGCTACAAATACCAGTATTAGTTAAATTTGTGTCGCCCCAAGGTCCGTTCCTCGCTAATATTTCATATAAGATTATGCCAAAAGAGTAAACGTCTCCCTTCTGAGAGCCTCGCGGTGGTGGGTTCGGGTCACGAAGTAGTTCTGGTGCTCGCCACAGCATTCGTCTCTCCATACGTAGAGCATCTTCTGTATCTGCACAACCACCTTAACGAAAAAAAAATAGTACTTATAACTTTTGACCCTCATATACACTAAACAGTCATTTTAAAGGCTATGAGATATTAGTAATTTATTTAGGACCGATAAACTCTTGCTTTGCGTAGGTGCGTTCTGTGCCCAAAAGTAACAGCCCTTATTTGAGAGCGCACTGCATTTAAACCGCCTACAACCTTCGTCGAATTTCGACAAAAGTATAAAGAGATCGATCATCGACTGGCACAAATTATATTTGCATTATAAACGTTATATAAAATAATTGTGAATATTAGTAACAATATTTAGGAGATACTACATTTCAAAGAAGCATACGTGTTTGTTGATTATGTTATGTTAAGTATGATTTTTATCCTTATACTATTTATGCTACCAAATTACGTGTTTCATCATGTCTGCGAGCTTAGACCAAAAAGACTTTCTAATTTCTACAATCTAAATTGTTAATATAAACACTTAAAAATTAAATATAGAAATGATTTTATTATGACATAACGCTTATCTATATATATAATAAAATTGTAACTAAACCGAATCTGTACATTAAATAGTTTTTGGAAAATCTTATTGAAATAGACATTATTATCGATACAGAGGCCAAATCTATATGTTTTTAGAATTTTTGTCTGTCTGTCTATCTGTCTATTTGTGTCCGCGCGGAAAAACCATTGGAGGGATTTTGATAAAAATTGGTATGATGATGGTTGGTTATCCGGGTCAACATATAGGATACTTTTTACTGCAGGAAAATATCTCATCTCTGAGAAATCTATACTAAACGTTAAAACGTAAGTAGGGACGAACCCGAGTGGAGCAAGAGTGAGTCGCTAGTGTCAAATATGCGCTTGTATCATGACGATTATGTTATTTCTATACAATCTTTAATTTTCTATTACAACGTTGCGATGTATGTGTCAAACAAATTGCTTTTTTATAGTTTTTAATAATATCTCGATGAGAAAATGTTATTAAAATTTACTTTACTTTATTTACTTAATATTTGAAGACTGGAAGAAAAAATATTTCAGTTTTTACAGTAAAAGCTTGCGTTCATATCAGAGACATTATACTTCAGTGGCTCACCTGTTCGCTGAAAATTTGCCATTAACTTTGTACAAAGGCACACCTAACGTACTTTACATGATGTAAAATGTGTTCTAAAATTTTTCACTGTCGTGTGAAAGTCTTTAAATAAAAATTCAGTCAAGTGCGAGTCGAATTCACACACGAAGCGTTCCGTACCATTGTACACCTACTTTTTATTAATATATATATATATATATATATATATATATATATATACACGGTGTAACAAATCGATGGGACATGAAAGAAAAGTACCTTATAAGTAATCAAGATTTACTCAAAGGAAACATTTCTTTATTTTTAATAATAATAATAACTGCATTTAATATTTTGAAAAGCTTACCTGAACCGGGAATCAATTCAAACAAAGATGCACAAAAGGACAACGTCGTCATAATCTATTTATTATTATGGGAAGGATGAAATCTCTCGAATAAACATTGCGTCTTAGAATTCAAGAAAACGAAGAAATCTAACAAATTATACATATAGACTCTAACATCGTGGAACAAACGCACATGACATGGAAGAAAAGTGTCTTAAACACTGAAGATATTAAGTTTCACTCAAAGGAAACATTATTTTATTTAAAAAAATAAGATTAATTGCATTTATTTATTTTTAATGAGGTGACCTGAACGGGTAATCGAACCAACTGAAAACACAAAAAGGCACAACGTCACTATTTTATCGAATTAATGGATAGAGTCTATGATAAGGATGAAATGTCTCGAACGAAAATTGTATGTTACAATTGATGAAAACTGTGAAATCTTACAACTAGCACATATTAATCCTAACTAACATCACAAAGAAAAGTACAAAGAAAGTAGTATCTACTTAAAAATAGATTTCATTTTCTATACCTTAAGGATTATATTTCATCGTCACTCCTCAAAAAGAAGGTTCGTTATGACCTCATATATAGACTTAAAAAAAAATATTATTCCATTCTCTTAGGGGAGCACATATTTTTTTCAAAATTATGCATGCCCGATGGTAACGCACTCGCTTGGTAAACCGAGTGAAGCGGGTTCAAATCCCGGGTCGGGCACCTCTAATATTTTTAAGTGTGAATCATTTCCAACATGATTGCCACTTGTTTTACGGTGAAGAAAAACATCGTGAGGAAACCTGGATGTCTGAGAGAACCTAGCAAGTTTTCGAAAGACGTGTCAGTGCAGTCCGCCAACCTGCAATTGGCCAGCGTGGTGGACTATGGCCTGATCCCCCTCGTACTGAAGGGACGCCCGCGCCCAGCAGTGGGACATTAAAAAGGGCTGAATACATGCAGGACCTCTAAGGTATAAACTTTTATAAAAAAAAGAATTATGAAAATCAATTCACAATTTGCGAAGATATCGAATAACATAACCACAAAAAAGATAAATTAAGTACCTTCCTTTTGAAGTCGGTCAAAACTATCAAAGCTCACATCACGTAATAGATCACTTTTTCCTTTGCAATCAGGCGTTTGAGATAATGGCCCAAGTCTCAAAGAGACAGCTCGAGGTCATATTACCAGATAGGTATTTCATAAAATATTATATATATATATATATATATATATATATATATATATATATATATATATATATATATCTTTATATATATAATTCTTCTGTGAGTGTGTATGTCACTGAACTTCTCTCAAACGACTGGACCGATTTTGATGAAATTTTTTGTGTGTGTTCAAGGGGATCTGGGAATGGTTTAGATTCACAATTTGAATAATAATTTTCATCAAAATGGTCCAGAATGTTTTAGCTTATTAAAAAAAGTTTGAAATTTTCAAATTAAAGACGTGTAGACAGGACAACGTCTGTCGGGTCCGCTAGTATATATATATATATATAGATGTAGGTATGGTTAAATCTTGCAACTGAATTTTATTGTAATAAATTGATACTTCGTAGTAGTATCAAATTGATAGATTAGAATTTATAAAAATTTTAAAAGCTTGTTTTTAAATATATTTTTTTACAATATTTAGTCATATAACAATAAAATGATGTACAGTTAACGGTTCTTGTAATATACTTTTGCAAAATTATTAAAAAATTTTTTGTGAATTTCTATTGAAAAGTAGGGGATTTGATATCTTATTATAAAGATGTTCAAACAATGTTTTTTTTTATTTTCGCTTTTATTTTTTGTTAAGATATCCGCTGTTGTAGGTTGTAGGACAGACAAACTAACGGACAGACTTAATAGGGTTATATGATTGAGAAACACTAAAAATTGCCTCGTGGTACAGGTGATGAGCTTGTAGGTTCGAATCCCGGACCAGGCCAAGAGTAATTGGGTTTTTCTACTAAATAAACAGTAACTGTAGCGTGAAGTACGAGTAGGTTCTTTTTTATATACTTTTATTTAATTTGCATTGTTTGATTATTGTTTGTTGTCGGGTCACATCTTACAACTGACTTGTAAAGCAGTTATTATCAGTATCACTGAGGATTGAGAATTGGGCAAGTACGAGTCGATGGTGTTACACCTTTGTGTCTCGAAGTAAGTAAGAAGTATAGACTTTCACTGGATTATAAGAGTGAAAGATGGTCATTCATTATACATTTAAGTCTTTTTTATGGAATGCAAATTAAAATTTAGTATAAATTTTTATAAATCTTTATCCAGTACATTTACTGATAGAAAACCACAGGTGCTATATAGCTGTTGATATATTTGATGTTGATGACAGTAAGCAATTTATAACGACAGATTTATTTTAAAAGTCAGCTGTCAATAAAAGGCATTGGTAGATATGAAAAAGATTGTGTTTACCAAACCTTCGACGGAACATATTGGTTTCAAATACTCGATTATTTTGATAAATTCATATATTTAATCGAATTATGCATATTCACTAATATTCTATACTAATAGGATAAAGGAACAGAATATCGTCCATCACTTTCCTTTTTGATAAGAAAACGTAGATTGATATTAATTTGACATTTAGAGAGAGACCTTTGGGCCATTTGAGATGGTTCTTTGTTCATGACACTGAAATACGAGAAACCATTTTCTTTTCTGGGAAGCTTTTTTGCTTTAAAATAAAATCAATTGAGCCTTTCCGGATATTGCAAACAGATAGACGGAATAGAACGTTATGGTTGATTTTGCTTTTTCTGGCATCTGACAAATATCTAACCTTATTATGGGATAGGCTTTTCAAAATTCCAGCCCTCCACCACTCCACTCGAACATAATTTATGAGTGTAAAGTATATAAAGATTTAAGATATACTAATGAATGTAAATATTGAAGGATCCCTGTAAGATTCTGTCTAATCTGTTTTAAACGAAACAGTTTAATTAAGAGTTTGAAAACTCAGAATATTTCGAAGATTTATAGCCTAAAATAAGTAGAGGAAAATTAAGCCTAACTAGGATTAGCCATTATATTTTCTTAGATTTATGCCAAAAAATACAATTTTAGATAAACCTATTTTCCTTTTCGTATATTTTTACAGTTTTAATTTTTATTCTAATTTTTCCAGAGATAAGTCAGTTAGAACAAAAAACAAGTCTCCAGATATAAAGTTTTTAATTTGCTTAGCAAAATTCTTGACAATGAGTATTTTTGTTTGAAACGTATCGTTTTAGACTAATTGAAATATATCATTTTAAATAAAATAATAATAACAAAAAAGTTATAATACAAAGCCTACTTCAAAATACCCTAAAAAAATGAATTCTATCCTTATTTTGAAAAAAATCCATCTTTTATGGATTTTATTTTATAGGTTTAAAATCGCAAATAATTTAAAAAATAACAGGCTAATAGCTGAACTCAATGAAGCTGAGCCCAATGAATTCTTCTTCTTCTTCTTCTTCTTCTTCTAACTGATAAAGAAATTGTTCTATTAATCTCCATACAGGATTTGCGCAAATGGTATTGCTTGTCTATAATATAAATAAAAATATTTTGTCAAATACATGTGAGCGAATTATTTTAGAACGACAGCACCTATTTGGCTAATTCTTTTTTCGTTGTGTTTGTAATTGTTAGGACAAGGTTTGGGTAAAAGAAATATTTGAAAAATTGTACGGAAAAGTGAAAAATTTGGGTTAAAAAATAAAACAGTGTGTTGACAGATTGACGTTCAGATGATTAAAAAAAGAAATTGACAGTTTTGTCAAAGTGTAAGACATATTTATCTATACTAATATCACATTGTGAGTTTGTGAAGTTGTAGGGGTCAATATCTGCCCCCCCAACGTGCGTTCACCTTGTCGTGGTGGGGGGGCTCAGTAGTGTACTCGCGAAGCCAAGAAACGCACAGGGAGGTGGCCCGCTTCGGTGGGCGGTGGGAGGCGGCCTTCTTCGGAGGGTGGTGTACCATGCGGGTTGCTCCTGGTACTTCTCTGATAGCAGAGTGGACCGTGGAGCAACCCCATGGTTGTTGTGGTCTGCTTCGGCAGACCTGCCGTCGGGGCGTCGTAGTTGAATGCGTAAGCGATCCTGCGACGCCCCATTAAGACGGGGGAAGGTTTTGTTGGGTTTTAGTGGGTAGTACTGGCTTCGCCGGTGAGTCCCACACTTCGTGCGTAAATGCATTTCCCAACTATCTGGATCTACTGAACCGATTTAGATGAAATTTGGTAAGAAGATAGTCTGGGAAGGACAAAGGATACTTTTTGTCCCGGAAATCATTCCTTAAGGGGGTGAAAATGGAAATGAAATTTTGTATTGGGAAGCAAGCAGGACGAATCCGAGCGAAGCGAGGGCGAGTCTCTAGTTTATAATAAAATTAAGACGTGTTCTTCCAAAATATCGAAATCGCCGCCACAAATCTCTTGCGCCCATATCTGACTAATAAAAACTACGTAATCGAATTACTTGCTTGTAATCTATACTAATATTATAAATGTGTAAGTAACACTGTAAGTAAGCTCCTTTAAGCTTAAACCCTAGCAAAGTCACGGGCATAAACTAGTATATTATTAGTTTAGTAATAGGCTATAGAATTAGCCTATATTTATTAATATAGATATCTATAAAACTTGACTACAAATGACATAATTATAAAATTGCACTTACTTTTCAGAGTATGTAGCCCGTAATCCGAAATCTGTAGAACCCATCGTCTGTCGACCAAACAATTGCTCGACGTCAGATTCCCATGGGAAATAAGTGCGGAATCGTGGAGATAGGTCAGTCCTCTCAATAGATCGGCGACCAGGCTGGCAACGAACATGTCATCTAGGTGTAGATCTCTATCCGCTAGTACAGTTGCTAGGGAGCCTCGAGAGCAGTAGGAGGTTATAATGCAAGCCACTCCAGTTTCCACGCAAACACCTACAAACGGTGTGAGGTTCTCATGTCGAAGTTCTCGCATCTGGTAACAAATATGATGAAATTGTTATTAATAATTAAATTATTATAATAGCTATGTCTTTATAGACATATTATATATGTAGGTAATAAACTTATAAAAATTTTATATAGATAATACTTATGTATGATGGTATTATAACTGTATATTTATGGACATTTTTGAAGTGAATTTTTTTTAGAGTAAAATTTTAAGGTCGCGTCACGAAAAATCGTCATGGTTGCCATAGTAACCGCTTGCATTAGATTGCCGCGGAAACTTTTGTATGATACTCTTTCCATTGATATCTTCAAAGATAACTATTTTTACTAATTTCTTTTCAAATATCTAAAATATTTATAACTAGCGGCTCACGCCCGCTTTACTCGGGTTCGTTCCTTAGAGCATAAGCGGTAAGAATCCAGCTAGCCTCTGCTCTTTGTGCGATATTTCTTTTGATCCATGTTTTTGTCTGAGTGTAATATTACATGTTTTTATTAATTTATTAATCTTACACATTTGAAATATAAATAAAATGAAGTTTCACTTCTAACAAGTTTCCTTAGAAACTTGACTTATTTTTGTATATGTTTGAGTAGGCGACAGCTTAAATGCAATAGCAATTTTTCTATTCTTTAACGATTTTAGAATGACATCCTGTTTGAGCTTTAATTTTAATTGATAATGAATGTTATGAGTTATGACTAAATAAGACATCTCTTATTGATCGTCAAAATTTTACATTTTCAGTTAAAAATTAATGATTGTCTACACTTGGGAGCTTTTTTGGATTTTCATTTTTGTAGAAATTTTAGCGCGCATAGTTATTACCCTAGAGTACGAAAAGATTTAATAAATGAGAATAGAGCTTTCTAGAGTTTCTATTTCAAGCGAAGTTAAAAATGGAGGTAATCCGTACGATATCATCGCTAATTGAACACATACATTTTTTCACAAATAAGTTCCTAAAGTCATATATAAATTTCATTTCTTAAAATATATTTCGTCCTTGAGGGTAGACTAACTTAAATCTATATACATATAAGTGGGTAAAGCGGAAACAGAGTTTTAGTGTTAGCAAAAAAAATATTGGAAACAGTGAATTTAAAAAAATAATTTTACTTAAAGTCTAAAAACTTATATAAACCCAAATATACAACTGAAAGTTATCTCATAAAGTGTAGTATCACGTTTGCTGGCTATCTGTTTAGAAATTCGAAATAATGCTACTAAATATTCATATACGGGTAAAGCTGTAGTCCTGGTACAGAATAGGAATGCTGCGTGTTACCCGATAGGCCTTTCCTATTCATAATGCTTCGTGGAATTTCGAGAGGAAATAGGACTTAATCTGAAATACGTGTATTATGCACTGGATATCGTAGGTACTTGTATTTGATATACTTATACTTGCCGTGTTTCTTGTTCACGCTGGAACAGCTGGAGGGTTTGAATGAAATTTATTACATAGACTAGACCTGGAATAACACATACGCTCACCTCCGATGTGTCTCCTTGTCGTGGTGAAGGGGTTCATTAGATTCCGGCAACCCAGCCGGGTGCGAAGCCAAGAGACACACTGAGAGACACAGTGGCGGTATACCAATCGGGTAGCTTCTGGTACTTCTCTGATAGCAGAGTGGACCGTGGGAGCAACCTTTCGATTGTTGCGTGGTCTGCTTTGGCATACCTGCCGTCGGTGCGTCGTGGTTGAGTGCGTAAGCGATCTTTTAGATTTGGTGGATAGTACTGGCTTCTCTTAAGCCGGTGAGTCAAATATAACCAGCTGTATGTATACAGGTGATATGCTTCTCACAAGCGAAGACTCTTGTTCGATCGGGATATAAAATATGATACATATTGTTGTTGGCATCATGAATAGTTTGTGTACAAATTTTTATGAACAATTGAACAGTGGAACTTCAGTTATTCTTGTAAATTTGTAAATGTGAGATATGAAGCCAAATGCATCTATTCTAAAAATATGTGTAAGGTTTTAACGGCAAGCGTACATTATGAGGTCATACACGTTATCAGGATGGACGAGTGTAAGGTTGCATTTTTATATAATGAGCGTTTTAATAGAAAATAATATATTTTATACATTTGTAATGAATTATGTATAAGGCATTTAGTTACGTGACCTTGGCCGATAGGAATGTGTTTTAAAAAAATAAAAGAAGGGCGCGGATATTCATTTGTTTTCCCGCGCTTTTTGCACAGAGATGTCGGTAACAGCCTGTAGTGACTAGTCACGAATTATTTATAATACTGAAAATTATGGTTATAAATTAAGTAAATCACCGACGATTATAAAAGTACTGAATATAAGAATATAAGCAAGGAATATCTCGAAGTTTTATTAGGTATCCTACACATGGTAATCTCGAAAACTACTTAAATGTAAAAAAAATAAGGATTACTTGTAAATAAAATATGCTATAATTTCATTTTATAACTTCCCTGCAGTAAAAGCTCATTTGATTTAAAATTTTTTTATAAAGGCAAGCAATAACGTCATTCTGTGGTGAAACACAAAAGCTGAAATAATTTGGTCGCGTTACAAGATTTATTGCTCGCTGTAATTAATTCTTTTATGAGATTAAACACGTTAATAATTTTAATGTTAACAATTTATAATCATGATTTTCACATATTTTCTCCAGTACATTTTAACTAGCGACTTAACCTTGCTTCGCTCGAGTGCATTCTAAGGTACCTAACAGTACCTTATGTGATATTCTAGATTCATAGTCTATCTGAATATTAAATTTTATCCAAATCTGTTCAGTTGTTTAAGCGTGAAGGAGTGACACACATACATATTATGTAAGTATGTTTCAACTTTTCCAGTTAAGTAGCTTCAGAAATAAACAGACTGACAGATAAACGGATGGCCTAACACTTAGACTTTATAGTGTATATTTGAAACACAATAAATCAAAGCTTCCTTGACGCTGTACTGACTAGAATGAGTAGACATAGAAAGTGACGGGAAAATTGGCTGTTCGAATGTACATTAATCACGGACCTAGCTTTAATTAAATGTAGGCTTATATGGAACGTTTTGTTACTAGAGTTAGCTGCTGACTTCACTTTAACACTTTCATGTAAATTTCTAAGAAATTAATTAAATTTCTAAGAAATCTATTGTTAACTGGCACGCCGGCGTGTCCGTGATCATGGAGGGATTAATAATCACAGCAAAGATGGTGAGAATAATGCTGAGATTTAGTGAGCATTCCGGTTCTTCCTAGGGAGTCTGACATAAGCAACAGCTTAAGATGGTGGTATGGTGGGTAAGCGTTTTATTACAACCAAATTTACACCGTGTTGCTAAATATACTTTAATGCTAAACATACCAAATGTACTGTAATGTATACAAATCAAAATCTAATGCATTCTATTATCTTGATATTCCTGGTACAAGTCATTAGGCGTTTGTTCATTTGTAATATGGACATGCACGTACGTTATATCACGGACTATTGTACGCTATCTCAGAATTGATGCAGAATTACAATATCATAGATACTAATTAAGTTGTCTGCCTCTATGTCTCTAGTTGAAGGGCAAATATTAATTTAGAATTTACTAATGTTACTTTTTTAATAATGTGTTACCTATTAGCTACTTCATAGTAGTGTTGTTTATATTCTTATTAAATGTTTTATTATTTAAACATGTATATAATAAAAAATGTTACTAATTAATGCAGAAGCGACGCGCGACATGTGCGCCGCATATACATAAAAAGAAGAAAGTGACAGAGCAAGCGAATGAAAGATAAGGATTCAGTGTTGCAATGTTAAAAAGGATAAAATACTTTAAAAATCCAGCTCATTAAGTCAGATTTTATTATAGAGACGATGTCTGCACGAAAATGCAAAGTAAATCCTATTCAGCTTACATAGTAATGAGTTTAGGGAAACATGGCGCAGAATCATGTTTGTGGTTGAAGTGTAATTTAAAAGCATTTCTTCCATTATTAGAGCTATGCTGCACTATTTTTAAATTTTTCGTACAATAAGTTATACATTTACCTTCGTTATAAAATATGAAGGCAAGTTTGTTCGTAATGAACGCGAAATAGATTCAAGATTAATGTTTTCTGATCTATACATATAATAAATTAGTAACTAAACCGAATCTGTACATTAAATATTTTTTGGAAAATCTTATTGAAATAGACATTATTATCGATACAGAGGCCAAATCTTTAGTTTTTAGAATTTTTGTCTGTCTTTCTGTCTGTCTGTACCGCATCACGGAAAAACCGCTGGAGGGATTTTGATGAGATTTGGTATAATGGTAGCGGGTTATCCGAGTCAACATATAGGATACTTTTTACCGCGGGAAAATATCTCATTTAAGAGAAAAAATACAAAAACTGCAATGTAAAAGTATACTAATATGTAAAACCTAAGAATTTGTTTTTAGTCATCTGAGCGCGGGTGGAGCCGCGGGCCGTGCTAGTTTGAAATATATTTATTTGACTTTTAGGTTACCGTACCCTTATAATTTTACGTTCGTCTGTCCGTATGTCATAACCATTTTACTTGAAGATAATTAAAACGATAGAAAAAACGCTGAGTACTTTTTGATATACGAGATATTTTCTGACTCACGCACTCTTCCGCAAATTTAATACTGTTTTCTTTGTTTTATTTGTGTTGCTAAAAATCTTTGAATTGGTGCTAAAATTGGTCTTTAACATAGTACGCAGAGCATGCATTAACATAACTAAATTTAAATTGAAAATGGATACCCAAATTGATGGTTTGCTACAATATTGTTGCTAACGTTTGTAACATTTGCAATCATATTATAGGGATACATAAAGGATAGCAGACAACTCATGCTGATATCTAGACAATGCACGATATAATCAACGCTCGATAGAATGCCAGAATGAACAGCTGATTAAATTCTCGGAATTCATGTTCGTATCAGTAATGGAAGCTTTTGAAAACCTAACAAACGAATTTTAAAATTATTCCCGGGAAATCCTGACAGCATGGTGCTATTTGAATTTTTGTTTATCTATCTAAACAAATCTTTTTTTTTTGTTGCTACAGGATGCAGCGGTCATAGATATTTTATGGTCACCACAGAGTGTAAAAAAATCTTTAACTTTTGTCTCAACGAATTCAATTTCTTAATTATGTGATCGATTAAACCGATCCAGATAAAAGCATGACTAAAATACTTCTCAGTGGATATATTGATTTGTTTTAACTATAGAAAGATTCAACAGCTTCAAAACGATTTTAAAAGTGTATACGTAAAAGATAAAATGGATCCATGAGAGGACATGGAAGATAATTTCTTTTTCTTGTTATTTATATTGTATATACGCAAGAATGACTTATTCACTATCTAGAATAGCAAAATGAATCATGAAAATATGTTTACAATTGAAGAATATATCGCGTAACATACATATAAATAAAACGCTGAGTGTATGTATAGTAATTGAGAACCTTTCTTTTTAAATTCAGCTCTTTAGCTGACAAACACGTAAATAATAAAATTTTGGCACCTTTGTGCTAAAAATTTTATTTATCACGTGTCATTATAAAGTCTGCCAAAAATCAGCCAAAATTTTACTGTGTCGCGCGTGATTCCAGTGGACCACAAGTCTATTCAGTTTGTAGGTGAGTTCAACATGAATAACAAATGTAATAAACATTAATGAGATCACATAATGTATACAATTTACTCTACAGAGTGGAGTGATCGGAGAAACCTTATAATAAACTTTAAATTGAACAGCAAAATTACAAGCTTTTTGCTATGCACGTGTAAAATTCGACACGTGCACTTTTCTCTCCATAATTATTGTATGATGCTTACGTGCAATTTATGAAATGTATTACAGTTGTAATTTGTAAATAATTTACTTGGTTTAATACTCATTATTTATTTATTATATATTGTATTTTATAATTGGGATAATAAATAAATAAAGTAAATATGTTGGGACATTAACACACAGCACCATCTAGTTCTATGGTGAGCTATGAGGCTTGTGTTATGGATACCAGATAGTTGATACACTATACATATATAAGTTTAAATACATACATATTATAAATATAAACACCCATGACTGGAATACATACGTGCTCATCACATAGAATAACGCTCCCAGCATCACTCTAACAAACTGAGCCAAACGTGCCGTCAAATATCATAATATTAAAAAATAATAGAATCGGTTTTACAGTGCAAGGTTAAGGACGTAAAGCTATGGATTATGAGCATCATCTATACGTCCCAGCTTTAATTTTATTTAATTAACCAACATTAAAGGGAGTATTTAATTCAGGTGTATGTTTTATTTGTTTGTTGTGTTGCGGCCTATTTTTATAACTTTGTTTTTCGTGAATTGATTACGGTAGTTTCATAAAATTTGAAATAAAAATGGGAAATTTTAAAGGTTATTTAAAATTTTAAATAATAGACTTTTAAAGTGCTTTTGAACTAGATATTTCTTTTTAGTTAGCAAGTGATTATTTTTATATTTTACTGACGACATACCCTTACTGGGGTGTGTTCCACGGAGTCTTTTGTCATACATTTATTGCTTTATTTCAAATTGTTTATTCCATGAACGAATTCTCTAATTCGTCCATGGTTTACTCATACGTCAATATAGTAACTCAACTATCACTTTAATTTTAATTATTCCATTTTTGTCTTTTTACTTTGGTAAAATACAAGAAGAGAAAGGTATATATATATATATATATATATATATATATATATATATATATATATATGTGTATATATATATATATATATATATATATATATATATACTTTAACTCTACGAATAAATATTATTCGTAGCTTTACCTGTTTTAGTTCCTTCTTGATAGCTCGAGTGACGTCGATATTTTTTTTCTTTAACCTCTTCACTGCGACAATGTTGCCGCGATACGAAGCAATTGTGGTGTGGGCACGTTTCTTATCGACCTCCTGTGGTATGTTATCCTATGAAAAGATATTTATTTAAAAGATATTTCTAAAACGTTTTTAGTAGCAGCATTTATAGTAGATATACTTTTCAGTAGCAACATATAGCTGTGTTCATAAGATTCTTGGTTCAAGTCCGGAAAAACAACTAAAAGAATTTGGAATTAGAAGATTGGCGAAGTTATAGCCGTAGTTATAGCGTGTGGCTTTGAATAGAACTTACATAGTAAGCATTGACAGATTTTTACCATGTAGGGTAAAGTTATGTAAGTATAGATTAACAAGTAAGTCATATACCACCTATACATATAATAAAATTCTAAATGAGTCGAATCTGTACATTAAATATTTTTTGGAAAATCTTATTTGAAATAGTCATTATTATCAATGCAGATGCCGAATCTATAATTATTAGAATTTTTGTCTGTCGGTCTGTCTGTATCGCGAAAAATTTGAGAAAAAATTCACCAGAAAACTACTAGACAGATTTTGATGGAATTTGGTATGATGATAGCTGATTATCTGGGTCAACATATAGGATACTTTTATTGTGGGAAAATATAATTCATCGCTAACCGCTAAAACGTAACTAGGGACGAAGCGAGCGAAGCGAGGTGAGTCGCTAGTTTTAAGATAAAATATACATTCTTGTATTTTTGTCATACTTCATTTTTAGTGTAACATGTACTTATATTTTATATTTTTACAACATGTTAAGTTCTATCAAATAATAGAGCGCATAGGTATTACTAGCTTTTGACTAAGTTGCTTGTAAATATTTACATTTGCTAGAAGTTTTGGAGTTTCTAAACTTGGACGAACTTGAACTTAAGAACTTAATATTGTGTTGCTTGAACTTTTTATAATAAACCACGTTAAAATATCTAAGAACAGGGTTTAATCATATATTTCAGGATAATAAAATATTTTTAAAATTTCAAGCCTCAAAAGTGTCAACAAAAGCTTTAGATATCCACACATAAAATTAATTTTTATGATTCTTCTAAACTTGCAAGCCGACTCAAAAGGTAAGCTATGGATAAGACTGTGTCGTCCAGCGACAATGTAGCTATTTATTAGCAATGATTTTCAGAATTCGATCAGTAGTTCCGGAGTTTGTTCCTCACATCTATCTGTGCCACTTTCTCCCAAGCCCCTATTTCTCAGTGAAAATCTCACTAAAATTTGTTTATTCTTCTGAAGTTTAACACGCATGCTCGATATGTGAAGAATATTTCATCGTAAATGACTAAAAACATACACACACGCTTACCAGCGCATTTATTTGCCCAATGAAGCGACCGCAGCTGGACTGATAGTTTCAATAGATTAATTTTCAATACCCGAACATATTTATCGGACTAGATGTTGGCTTTAAAGGTAACACTATATTCACTCACTCAAACTATTTTCTTACCAAACTATCTTCTTACCAAATTTCATCAAAATCAATTCAGTAGTTTCGGACAGACAAACAAACAAAAAATCATATCATTTTATCATTCATAATATCATTCATAATATTAACATAGATTAAGGGCAATTTAGTAACTAAGAGCTCTTAAATACCTCACTTTTGTTACCAAACAAAGAACTGTCGAATAAGAAAGAGTTCTTTTTGAATCACGACATGATTTTTAATTTAAATCATTAGAAAACTTAAAACGGTTTAATGAGAAAAAGAATCTCAAGGTCCAAACGTCAAACTTTTGTTCTCAAAAGGTGAACAGGTCTTTGATAGGGTAAGGGATATTGCATACATAATAAAATTTAAGCCAGTATTAAGTCATTTGGAAAGTAAAGTTTGAAATTAAAAATACTCTTTTAAACAAAGTATATCATTTTGTTATGAAATTCTTTGCGATATAAATGGATGGAATTATTTCTATTAGAATAAATAATCATTTATAATAATCTATAAAAATCTATTTATAATAAAAATTAAATAATATTCGTTGATTAGCGCATTACCTAAGAACTGAACTGGCCGAATTAGAGTTTTTTCTATAATGAGGTTTTTATGGGAAAAAGTTTAAATAAGTTGCTCGGAAAATGAAAAAAAAAGATCATGAAATATTATTAAAATTGGGGCAAGACTATATTTATCTGGTCAAATAATGATTATTCATACTAATTTAGATACGTTGTTTGGAAAATTGAGAAGAAAACTGAAAGTGGCTTTTGCTATACAATTTTTGTATGACATCAAAGAATATGAATTATAAATTTTATTAAAATTGGGGCAGCATTACATTTCGTTGGCTCACTATTACAAGGTTCTATGTTACAATTTTAGTTCTTATTTAGTTATGAATGCTACAAGATTCTGTGTCATTAGCTACAGTTTCGCAAAAACAAACCACTAGATAGCGGCACTATAACTACAAAATATTCAATTTTACCTAGTTCTATGTTATTTTTTTTACTATAACAAAATAACGAAGTTCTATGGAAAAATTACTAAACTTCATTAAAATTAACATAGAACCTTATAAAAGTAAGCCAACGAATTTTGTCGCGTCCAGTAATGCATCCATATACCTATTCGTTAAGCAGATTTCGATAACATTTGGCAAGGACTTAGATTGCAGCTTGGAGACCGATATAGACTAGTTTTGATCCCCGACCCACTTACAACGCAAGAGAAGCCGCGGTAAAAAACTAATTACAATTTAATAAGTGTCGTGTAGAAAACCAAGTAAAAGTCATTAAATTTAATATTTTTTCTCTTTATGACTTCTATATTTATAGTCTTTACCCAGTCGTCTCTTTAGATCTTTTATTATGTTTTAGTGCGAGAGATTCAACAAGAAAATAAAATATTACATTTCAGATTCTTATATTAAAAACAGATTTTATGAATCTGTGTTTTCCTTCTCAGTGAAGCGAGTGGTAAATATGTTGAAAATTGATACATTCGCACATGAGAAGATAGAATGTGCGGGACCCGGTATTTGAACCCACTTGATTTTACCAAGTGAGCGAGTCTCCAGAAGGGGCTACCATTGCCTTACTATTTCCATATATTAAAATATAAACTTTCTTTTACGCTATTCCCTAAATCATTTATTGAAATAGAATTATATTCCATGACCCACACTTAATTTGGTGGGATAAATAGCTTTATAGCATACTAGCGACTCACCCTCGCCTCGCTTGGGTTCGTCCCTAGGTTGATTCCCCATAGAAACTTTCATCCCCATTTTCACCCCCTTAAGGGATGATTTCTGGGATAAAAAATATCCTTTGTCCTTTTAAGGGTCTCAAACTATCTTCTTACCAAATTTCATCTAAATCGGTTCAGTAGATCCGCAGATTACCCCCTACAACCTCACAAACTCAAAAACTTTACATCTTTATAATATTAGTCTATGTAGATATAACATTTGTCCCATATGCTATCTACTTATAAATTCAAAAATGCCTTATTTCCAAACATCCTTCCATACTTAGGGGTGACTTTTTAAATGCCCTTTCTTAGCACACAACTACCCTATATTATAATTTATAAGGCACTCTGTGCAAAACTTTACGTTACTAGACTGAACAGTATAATCTGAACTACTCTATTAATAGAATAGAAATCACTTTAAAACAAAAATTTATTGTAACATTTAGCGTGTTTACGATATAAAATAGCTAAAAAATGTTTAAGTATGACGAGAAAATGCTGACTTACCTTTTCACACGTCGTGATAAACGTTAAGTCCTTTGCTTCAATCCTCCATAGAACAGATGCCAGTTTCTGTTCATACCTATAATGTCGTACAAGTAAAGCAGCAGCAAGTATGGCGGCTGAGGCCACAGCGGCTGCAGCGGAGAGGGTGACAGGGTCATGGGGTAGGGAACACTTCCTCCCATCGAAGCCACACGCTGGTTCTGAATCGGGGGGTTTCCCGCCTATCCAGGCTATAGTGGAACCTCCCACGAATTCCTAGGAATGGAAAGACGTATCAGATTTATTATCTAGAAACTACCACTTTACTAAATTTCTGCAAATACATATTGGACATTTGTAGTAAAACCATCTTTGCAGTTTTTTTCGCGAATTTATTTCGGTTTCCCGACGTTGCGTATATTTTACAACAAACATGATCACGGGAGAGACTCAATCAATTTGATTGAAAAGCCAGCTGGTGTTATTGGTTGAACTCCTCAGTGGCCAATGACCAGCAAAATTTCAATGAATTCTCGATGAGATAGGTCAATATTTTATTTTATCTTTTCTACAATTAAAATGATGATTCTTTTCTTTCATGTTATCTTTTTATATACATACTCGTTGTACACATTACGAGTATGTATATAACGTATGTATGAGTATGTATATATAACGTCTACTAAATTCATTATATACAAAGCAGTTACAGATATGTAGCAGTCAGAGTAATTGTAACATATTATCGCGAATTGACCACAGTAATATAATCACAATATGTAATTATTTTGCATAATCGCCTCCTAGTGTAGGTACGTGTTTATTTTGTATAGTAGGCAGAAGCGTACAAAATATATACAGAAAGGATAGAATTTATAATGCATTATGATAGAATTTATTAATAATTGTTCAAAGGATTATAATAATAATATAATTATAACAATAATATATAGATAAATAATGTGATTGACTATAAATAATATGATTTTAACAATAATATATAGATAATATTTCAAAGGATAGAATTCATAATATATTATGATAACCTATTCTCAATATATTTTGCTTTTATGGTATCCTAAGGGAGTTATTTCTATATATATGCTAATATGCAATATGATATATGCTAAATAGCATATATGATATATGCTAAAATGAATAATTATATATGGATCGAGTAGGTATTTATATCATTTCTACTATTGAAGGGAGACACGTGCCCAGCAGTGGGCCGATAAAAAGGGCTGAATACATATTACAGTGTAATGCTTCGATTTTATTCTGATATTGGAGCTAACGCAGAATAGCTCCGTATCTTCCACCCCCGTGCCTGTACGTTAACTCTTCGATTCTGCGACTGATCCCTCACCAGTCGTGTCGAATTGTCGCCCCACTAGAGTATGGAGTGGAAGTAACAGAGGGTACTTGCGCAAACACACTGCACTATAACACAATATATTGTTGCTATATAACATCTCCTACGTCGTTGGCAAGTTTCTGCGAGATTTGCCACCGTGGCCGTAATCGATCAGGAGGACGTAAACTAATGTACATATTTTTGATTTAAGTAAAATAATATTTACAGGTAACAGATCAGTAGAATTGGTGTATCTAAATGCAGCTACTGGTTTAGCGCTCCAGCCACTGGGTGCGTTTGGGTCTTCCACTACTCCAATAACTGAGAAGTTGCCCTCGGCGTCTCCAGCGCTGTCCATATTTACCTGAGTAAAAAAACTTATATTATAGTACATATTAAACTGTATGCTAAAGCTTTAAGCTAGTTAAGGGCTGAATAAGTGAATAAACGATCGAGCCAATCAACCACTCACTAAGAGTGAGTCAGTGTGTTTAATATTTCTTCAAGCTGTGATTTCTTTATAGATTCCCACCATGAAAGCGGAGTCGGGCTAAAAACTAGTTATTCGTATGTCTACGTCTACGACGACTACCACTCTACTACTACTATACTAATATTATAAATGTGAAAGTGTGTAAGTTTGTCCTTCTTTCAAGTCAAAACAGAGTGACGGATTGGCGTGGATTTTTTGTGTGGACCTCATTGAAGGGCTGGGGCTAATATAACATAGGCTACTCTTGAACGCGGGAGATTATGTCATTCCTACGAGAAAACACGTTATAATACAACCCAAAAATTATTTATGATCAGAATTACTTGAAACTTGGTATTAATGCTCTTCAATAGAATTAAATTAATATTATGTTTTAGAATTTTTCAAAATTCATCCCATAAGGCATTAAAATAGGGGATGAAAGTTTTTATGCAACCTACTTCTTTAGATTTTTTTTTGTAGTTTTAATGCGAGCAAAGCCGCGGGTTCTGCTAGTAAATTATATTTAGCAAATATTTTTATATTGTACTGGTTTTATATTATAAACTTTTACCAAAAATTTGTACGAGAATGTTTCATTTTGTATTATTTATTTCATATATACCTACAACAACATACATACAGAACAAATAAATTTATTAAGAGAAATAAAATACCCATAAAATTTTCTACTCTATACAGACAGCACGCGTCACTTGTCGTATAGGTTTTTCGGGATAAAAAATTCCTATTCCAGGTTACAATCTATCTCTGTGCCTTTCATCCAGATCCATTTAGCTGTCCTGGCGTAATTAAGTAACAAACATCTATCCATCCAAACTTTCGCATTTATAATACTAATGGGATGATTACTAATACTTTCTTAGATTTACGCGAATATTTGATATTTTAAATAAAACTACCCTTTCGGATCTTTTCCCTGATTTATTTTAATTTTGGTTCCCGACGTCTCGAATACTTTACATTACTGCAAACATGGTCACGGGAGCCTAAGGTTTTAGACGTTTCAAAGGTATTATATTATAGTTGTTACAGACAGCACCTGTCCCAGTGCTGTTAAGTGAAAAGATAGTGTTATTTAAAATATTATGAATACTATATAATAGTCTTTTCCCGCGGCTCCGCCCGCATAGTACACTAACATTTTACTATATCTTTATATTATAGCCTTTATGTTACTCTGATAATATATAAAGTACATATATTATTCGAAAGTTTCATCAAAATCTGTTACATAGTTTTTGCGTAATAAGTAACAAACATTCATACATCCTAAAAACTATTGCATTAATAATATTAGTAGGATAAACATTCCATTAAGAACCTCTTCTACTTTTGAAGTCAGCCAAATGCTTGTTTTATTGGATGCATGAAAGAACGTCATCCATTATTTATTTAATATTTTCAAGCAACAAAAAACTTTTTACTTCTAAGTACGCTTCTAATCAAATTTTGTTTAAATGCGTTTTAATGAATCTATATTTTTATTCCGTTTCTTTCTTCCTCATGCATAAGCATAAAAAAACACAATCCGCCATCTTTGGGAGTCCGCCATATTGGATTTAGAATGACGTCACTTAGCTAACCATGAAGTGTCATCCAAACTAAACGTGTATGCAAAACTTCACCTCAATCAGTTGAGGATAACTGCTTTAAAATTCAGTTACAAGATTTGACACGAGCAAACAAACATTGCGAGCTAAATATAAGCTTGTAAAAACATGACTGCGTAAAAGAATAATATCAACCTACATTTTTATAGTACATAATTAAATATGACAGTACCTAAGCATTTTTATTCTTAAACAGACATTGGCTTGACTCGTGTAAGTCTGTTGACCTTGGCTTTGTACTTAAATTTGTTGTAGGACAATAACCTTTAATATCTAAAATAATCAAAATGACAATCGACATCTCATGTTAAGTTCTATTGAGCTTTTTAGGCTATATTTTATGCCAAAGATAGTTGACGAAGGAACATAGTATTATGCATTCGGAGACATCCATACTTAAATTAATATTATAAATGTGAAAGTGTGTTTGTTTGTTTGTTTGTTTGTTTGTTTGTTTGTTGTTTGTTTGTTTATTTGTTTGTTTGTCCTTCTTTCACGTCGAAACGTAATGACGTATTGGTGTGATTTTTTGTGTGGAGATAGTTGAAGGGCTGGAAAGTGACAAAGGCTACTTTTTACCGCGGGAGTTTACCTAATTCCCCAGGGAAAACACTTTATAATAAAATAAAAAAATATTTATGATTAGAATTACTTGAAACTAGGTATTAAAGCTCTTCAATAAAAGTAAATAAATACGCGTCCCAGCATTTTTCGAAATTCATCCTATAAGGCGGTAAATTAGTGGATAAAAGTTTGTATGAAACTACTTTTATAGAGATTTATTCATAGTTTTAGCGCGAGCGAAGCCGCGGGTACTGCTAGTATTGTATATACCACAAATCATAATATAATACACGTAGTACACGTAATACACGTAGCAAAACCTGCCGCTAGTGTAAAACATGTATTAGTTTACAATTAGTTTACAGTTTTAAAATACAATTAAATCAGTTAGCAATTTACGTATAACAATAAGATGTATGTATGTGTGTTTGTTTGTAGATCACTAAGTACCGTAAATTCCAATTCAATTCAATTATGTTCAATGGTTTCTAGGAGTGCCGTTTGGACACCAGTATATAATTTCATATGCATTTAGCAAAAAGCTGTTATTTTGACATTAAAAACAGACATTATAATTTTCTTCATCTGTATAGATTGAAATCGCGTATGACACAACAAAGTTTTATTAAGAATTACACAGACGGAGTCTAACAAAATAAATGTCAAAGTCAAAAATAGTAGCTTGATTGGCTGTTTATGGTACTATTCTAGATTTTGCCATTAATCTATTATTTTCTTTACATAATAAAAGATATTGTATCAATGTATCAGTTAAATCAAATTTACAATTTTCTAAAATAAAAAATGAATAATAAAAATAATACTATATTTTTTTTGTATTTTTTAAGCAATAGTTTCTATCGAAAAATGATGGATCGGTACAATAGAATATAACAGAATGGTCAAGAGGAAGGGTTGTCACGGTTGACGTTCAATATTTAAAATATATATTTTTCTATTCATTTATATCATGTGCCAACACTACCCCTTAAACGAATATAAAAATATCATATTCGCAACTTACACCTACCACTTATATCTTTAAGTTTTAAATAACTTAGATATAAGTTTCTTATGCTTCACAATACATAAGGGCTTTGTAAAAACATCAGCTAACATATCTTCAGTACATAGATAATCTAACTTAACTATCTTCTTATCAACCAATTCTCTAATAAAATGGTATCTGATATCGATATGCTTTGTTCTAGAATGTGATATAACATTAGAACATAATTTCTGAGCAGACTGGTTGTCATTATATAAAGTTATTTTACAGAGCTTACCAGTACACTCATTAATAAACGCTCGTAAAAACAAAGCTTCTTTACAAGAATCAGAAACCGCCATGTACTCAGCCTCAGTGCTCGAGAGCGCGACAGTGCGCTGCTTACGGCTTTCCCAGGATACTATTGATTTACCAATACAGAGTACATACCCTGTGTAGGATCTCCGATCCAATTGGTCTCCGCCCCAATCAGCATCGGCAAAACCTAAAATTTCAAGATTATGTTTTTCAAAGATTAGCGAGTATTCTGAGGTGCCTTTCAAATACCTTAAAACCCTTTTCGCAGCTTTGACATGACTCTCACCATGGCAATCATTGAATTGGCTCAAGTAGTTGACACTGTGAGCGATATCGGGTCTGGTACATACCGCTAAATACATTAAGCAACCAATTAAACTCCTATAATCAAAGTTGCAATTACTAACATTTCCCTCTCTTTGCAACTTTAATCCTACTTCCATAGGAGTTTTTACTTCCTTACAATCCGCCATTTTAAACTTTGTCAATATCTTCTTTATATAGCTGGATTGATTGAGAGTATAGCTACCGTTAGGTAATGTAGTAATTTTCATACCTAAGAATTGATGTGCCAGTCCTAAGTCCTTCATCTCAAACTGTTTCATCAACTTTTCTTTAATGAGCTTTCTTTTCTGAGATGTCTTAGATGAAAATAACAATATATCATCAACATAAATAGCTATATACAAAATTTCTTTACTATCGTTGTATATATACACGCATGGTTCTGAAGAAAACCTCTTAAAGTGTAATTTCTTAATTAAAACATCATTAATTATCTCATACCAAGCCTTAGCTGATTGTTTTAATCCATATATTGCCTTGTTAAGCTTATAAACCTTATTCTTATTATTATCAACAACAAAACCTTCCGGTTGTTCCATGTACACATTTTCCTTTAAAATCCCATTTAAAAATGCTGTTTTAACGTCCAAGTGCTCAATCAACATATCGTACTGAGCAGCTAGTGCTAGCAAAATTCTGATAGTTGAGTATCGGACGACAGGAGAAAATGTTTCGTGATAATCTATCCCATATTTTTGAGTAAAGCCTTTTGCCACCAAGCGAGCTTTGTACTTTAAGATCTCTCCATCAACCCCTCTCTTCTTGCAAAAAATCCATTTGCATTTTACAGGCTTATGGCCTGGAGGTAGATCTACTAAAGTCCAACATTTGTTTGTGATGAAAGAATCATACTCATCTTTTATCGCTTGTTTCCAATGCTGTGAATCACTGCATCTCAGTGCTTCCTCCACGTTAACAGGTAAGTCCTCTTCATGCATCTCTGTTAATCCAGCGAACTCATATGATTGAGCTTCTTCAAATGACAGCTCCCTAGAGTCCTCAGAGTCAATGCTTGATAAACCTGGAACATAAGTGGGGTCGGCCGAATCATCTGAGGCAACTAAATCTTCTGTTTCATCTAGATCAAACATAGTTTGCCTGCGAGGATTTATTTGGCCAACATTATGACATATAGACTCATCATTTACTGATGCATTTGACTGTGGAGATAACTGAATAGTTTTTGTAGGTAATTGTACTGAATTCGGACTTAGAGTACTATCTACAAAAATCTGTGAACTAGTTGAGTCCTAAACCTAATGAAGTATCTTTATTTTTATTAACTTTACAACTATCACTATATGTTACATTTTTATTTACAAATTGGTTCTCCATGAACGTCACATGCCTCGCTTTAATGCACTTCTTTGGACAAAAAGGATCTATGAGCCTATAGCCTTTGCTATCATCACAATATCCTACAAAAATATATCTTTTGCTCCTAGGCTCCAATTTTCTAGCATTCTCAACGATGGCATATGCTACACAACCAAAAACTCGTAAATGTTCAATGTTCACCTTTTTATTCGTCCATTTTTCTTCCGGTGTTACTCCCTTTATCGCCTTAGTAGGGGAACGGTTCTTCAAGTATACAGCCGTGTTAGCAGCTTCAGCCCAGTACCGTTTCTCTAAACCAGCGTCCTGGAGCATGCAGCGGGTCTTATCCATTATCGTCCTATTTGCCCTCTCTGCAACACCATTTTGTTGACTACAGTGTGGAATTGTAGTTTGATGCTTAATTCCATTTTCTTTTAAATAGGCCTGAAAATTTACAGAATTAAATTCTCCGCCATTGTCACTTCTAAAAACCTTTATTTTCCTACTTACTTCATTCTCTACCATAGTTTTAAATAATTTAAATTTTTCAAATACTTGACTTTTTCTTTGAAGAAAGTAAATAAATGTTTTTCTTGTGAAGTCATCGATAAATGTTACAAAGTAACGTGCTCCACTCCAAGAAGGTGACTGCATAGGACCACACACATCTGCGTGTACCAGTCCTAGAATTTCGGAAGCCCTACTTTTACTTTTCTTTGGAAAAGGTAGCCTTGTCTGTTTACCTACGAGACAAGCAGTACAAGGAATGAAAGTAGTATTTTTATAATTCATACCTGATACAATACCATTTTTCATTAAATTCATGCTCCGTGCATTCAGATGACCGAGCCGCTTATGCCACAGTTCCTGTGATGCTGAATTCTGCACAATCGCCAGTGTAGAATCCTTGCTCTCATCTGAAAACACCGTACGCTCGCTCCCCTCACGGACTGAGTTCATAGCAATCCCTGATTCTTGTTTTCTACTGTATTTCCTACTGTATTTCCTATTATACATATTTACATTTTTAATAATGTCGAGTTCATAGACACCATTTCTACAAGTACCAGTAGCTATAAGCTCCTTATCGTGCATAATTTTACAACCTAAATGACTAAAAATAACATAATAACCTTTCCTACCTAACTCACTTACTGATAATAAATTTACACTAAGTTCAGGTATAAAATATACATTATTTATAGTTTTAGTACCATTTACTAATTGTACCTTTACTCTACCCCGACCTTCTGTTGTTAATTTGTCCCCATTAGCTACATTTACCTCAAGTGACTTTACATCCTGATAATCATACATTAGATCTTTATTATTACACATATGATGAGTAGCCCCAGAGTCGATACACCACATATCACTGTGAAGATTCACACGTAATGCAGACAGTAACGACGCCTCAGGATTATGCTTCCCAGTAGATTCTTGTACAGAATTATTTTTGTACACTTTCCTTTTACTGGTACAGTCCTTCTTCATATGTCCAGGTTTTTTACACTTGAAGCACACGACCTTTAAGCTCTTTTCTTTTCTAGTAGCTAATGCGTTGACCCCATCTTGACTCTTGTCATCTCGCCTCTGTTGCTCCTGCAGTAACTTTGACTTGACCACCTCACTTGTGAGTTTCATATTAGAATTTTCTAAAGCCATTATCATGGGATCAAAGTCCTCCGTCAAACCACTGAGCATAATTACAGCTAGAAATTCATCGTCAAGTGCGGATTCAATATCTGATAGTTGTTGCCCAAGCTCCGTAATTTTTAATAAGTAGCTTTGCATACCTTCCGTCTCGCACAGTTTCGTACCAAATAGCGACCTCAGTAATCCCAGTCGTCTGCATAGTCCCTTATCCTCGTAAGCGCGCTCGAGATTATGCCAGGCTTCATAAGGACTCTTCGCATTGCGTACATGAGCCAACGCTGATGGACCGACGGACAAACAAATTTTTGCTAACGCCTTTTGTTTTTTCTTCTCGTCTTTTTCATCTTCGTTCATTACGCAATCGAAAAGATCTTCATGCATTAAAATCATTTTCAGCGTAAACTTCCAATGATTATAATCTTCTAAGCCCTTTAGTTTTTCGACGGGAATATTATATGACAATGCCGACGCCATGTTTTATATTTTTATTATATATTAATTATTTTATATATAAAATTTAAATGCAAATACTATAAATATACTGAAAATATGCGAATATACGAAATTATTTTAACTTTAATCAACGGTCTGGGCCCATAACCTGATGGATCGGTACAATAGAATATAACAGAATGGTCAAGAGGAAGGGTTGTCACGGTTGACGTTCAATATTTAAAATATATATTTTTCTATTCATTTATATCATGTGCCAACAAAAAAGAGATAGCAAATTTTAATTTGCTTTTTTAATTAGCTTATTTAATTATTTTTTCTTTATTATATTAAAATCCGTTCACTCTATACTATATCTTAGTCTGAAGTCTAAACCTACAATTACATGCGATTATTATTTATTATAGATACGATACAATATGTATACATACGATGATCTTTTCCACTGATTCCAGTACTCAGTTGATGCAAGAAAGTAGGATAAACCAACATCTCTCTCGCAATTCTACTTTTTAAGATTTTTGTATAAATACTAAATGGTTATTTCTTTAAAAATTTCTTATAGCTTTGTATGAAATACCAACAAAGGTATCGGCTTAGCTTTGTTAGTATAGTAGAGGAATTTTTCAAAGTGAGGTATTTTTTCTTATACGGAATTTTTTTTGTTGCTATTCGCTCTAGGCGTTAGGTTTCAATTTAGTTCACATCCACCCATCTACACTATTCTTTCTTATGTCACTGTACAATACAAATAGTTTACAGCTCACCACGGGTTTTTAATGATTAATAAAAAGCTAAAATAATTTAAATATCATTGAAACATTTTTTGTAGGACTGGCGCTTCCTACCGATAATCGTGGAAGACAATTTTTTTTATTGTAAATACGCTTACCTTTCATGTGGTGCTTTTGTCCTACATTTAATAATGAATAAAGTATCACGGTGCGGTAGACAGTTTCCGGACGTAGGACCAAGAAATCATACCATTTTATTTTTAGGACGATGTGACAATTCAACTATGCACATTTTTAATAATATGAAAATCAGCCGATTATTAATAAATTTTTGACACGTTTGGCTCAATTTGTAGTTCCCTACTTGCATCAAACATTTGTGTGATGAGCACCAATGTTTGTACTTCAGTCATGGGTGTTTATATTTATAATATGTACGTATTTAAAATTATATATGTGTAGTCATAGACGAATTAATTCGTTCATGATGTGTAGTGTATCAACTATCTGGTATCTCACAAGCCTCATAGCTTACCATGGAACTAGATGGTGGTGGATGTTAATGTCCCAATATATTTATATTTATTTATTTATCCCCAGACTAATTGGCTTATCTCAAACTGGATATACATGTGTAGATATAATACTGTACTACTTACGTCAAACCCTTGTAGTGATCTATAAGTGGTAGGTCTCAGTAACTTCATTAGAGTTGCTCCATCAGTTGGTGGAAGACCATTTCTCATTGCTGCAGATGCGGCTCGCGCCCAGAGAATCACTGCGTCGTATAGATGAGCTGCTTCGATGGGTACCTATTAAAAAATAGATTCTTATGTAATATATCTATACATATAATAATATTTAGATTTGATGAAATTTGGCATGATGATAGCTGGTTCTCCAGGTCAACATATAGCATACTTTTTACTGCGGGAAAATATCTCATCTTTTATCTTTTTTCCTAGAAGCAAGCTAGGGACGAACCCGAGCGAAGCGAGGGTGAGTCGCTAGTAATATATAAAGAGACTTATCGACATTTACATCCGAAATCATCGTTCATATTTTAGGAGATTCCAGTGTTTTATTCTTGTTTTTCGTTATTTATCCTCTTTATCTAAATAGTCCCAATTATAATCTAGGAGTACAATGCTAGTAAAATATGGTAAGGTTATATATTTCACTTCATTTATATTCAAGTCGGAAGTTCGTTCTTACAATACAACTTTTAGTACACGATATCAAGGTCAATAGGGTTACACGAGCGCTTCGTAGCTGTCTGTTGGTGAATAATAAGGTTTATTCACCATTATAAGTGCACCAGAAAAAGTATAATGCTTTTTATTATATCACTACATATTATAAATTAAAGTCCCCCCGCCGCGTCTGTCTGTCAATCTGAACGCGACATATTCAAAAATTACCAAACGGTTTCAAGAGGTAATTTTCATACGGTTTTCACCAATAGATAGCGGAGTGATTCATGAGGAAGGTTTAGGTGTACCTATACCATATATTTCGTTAAGGTTTCACGCCTATCTCTTCTTACCTTAGTTCTGAATGTAAAATATATCAAATTTTCATTGTAATTATTCCACATTTAAACATAACTTTACTTCTCGTAAAGAAAAAAAACATAATATGTAGGCCAGAGACTGTGAACTCTATTAATATATCGTTTTATATTTTACGCACTTTTTACAATTTTCGTTCGTTAATAAATAAAACTATCTTTTCGGATTATTTCGCGGATTACACACAATTAATGTGGGTAGGCTGTCTGTAACAACTATACCTTCAAGACATGTAACACCTCAGTCTCTCCCGTGACCATGGATGCTGTAAAGCATTCGAAACGTCGGGAACCAAAAATCAAAATAAATCCGCGAAATAATCCGAAAAGATAGTTTTATTTAATAATGTCAAACATTCGCGTAAATCTAAGAAAGTATTTCGTTCGTTAAATCTCAAAAGTCGATGAATATACGTTTCCCTATCATGTCCACATTGACTTTTTGTAATATTGCTTAAATACTTTTTATACATAACATACAATTATGTTTTTTGCCCGGTTAGTTATTTAGATCCTAACAAAAAACTCAAGAAGATGATCTTGATACAATATTTTCTTATTATTATTACATCTTTGTCTCGTACCTCGTAGTATCTTTGTAGCTCGTAGGCCAGTTGGGCACTACAATATTTTATATATTTTTCTATTAATTTGCAATACAGAAGGCAGTGATAACCCAGTGGTAACGTGCTTGCTTAGGAAACCGAATGAAGCGGGTTCAAATCCCGTGTCTTGCACCTCTGATATTTTCATGCGTGAATCGTTTCCAACATGGATTACTACAAGTACTTGTAAAGCGGCGAAGGAAAACATCGTGAGGAAACCTGCATATCTGAGAGAACCTAGCAAGTTTTCGAAAGACATGTGCCAGCGTGGTGGACTATGGCCTGATCCTCCCTGTATTGAAGGAAGGCCCGCGCCCAGCAGTGGGACGTTAGAAAGGGCTGAATAACACTATACAATATAATAATTTCATAAATAACTATAGTCTCAATTGGGCCAAATATACCTCGTATAAACAAATAATCCAGTAACAACATCAGTTTTGTAAAGATTTATCCTCTTCCATAAATTTAAATATTATCAATTAACAGTGTTTTCTGAAGAACGCTAAAGAGTTCTTGAGAGCTTTGAACAATTTTCCTTTTGCGAAGATAAAATGCAGGCATCGCTTGACCCAGAACAATACAAAATCTAACTAGTGGAAATAACTAAAAACAGGTCAAGTGAGAGTTAAAGTCGAACACCAAGGATTCCGTACCATTGTTAAAGATATAACACTATGCACTAACCCGTTTTTTTTAATTTACATGGCAGCCGTTTTGAAATTTTATTATTTGTTGTTATAACGGTAATAGAAATACATACACACTCATTTATTACCTATTACAGTTCATGAGATACAACCCTCTGTCAGACCGACGGACGGAGAGCGGAGGCTTAGTAATAGGGTCTAGTTGGCACCCTTCGGGCACGGAACCCTAAAAACGTAACAACATAAGAAACTCAACGAAAGCAACAAAAACAAAGGAATAACAAGAACAAATGAAACTTAGTGGAAACTGGAAAGGTAGAACGCTTGTGTCAACAAGCTGAATAAAGTATTGTGTAAAAATGGCGGATATAACCTAATTGGATAAAGTTTTCCATTCAAAGTAAAGTATCTACTTGAATTATCGATTCACTTTAATTTTTTAAGTTATAACTTTGTAATAAATGGACTTTTAGTTAAGCTTCTACTACATTTTAAAATGCCAAAAACAACGTTTTAAAAAGATATTTAGGCCAATTATTTATTGCAGTTTCGTAATTCAAGATAGAAAGAATATTACGAAGTCGGTTACGTTTTACGTGTACAGTAGTTTTATTTACAGCGCGATCAAATATAAATCTTTTGAAAGTTTTGAAACACGAGCTGTAAGTGTCGCAGAGCTCTACGATTAAAAAACTTTCGAGCTATTATTTCGTCTGTCTCAAACTATTAAATGGCTTCTATCTATACATACTAGTGATCGCCTCGTGGTTGAAAATCTATACATATAATAAAATTGTATATATTATCGATACAGAGGGCGAATCTATAGTTTTTAGAATTTTTGTCTGTCTGTCTGTCTATTACCGCATCACGGAAAAACCACTGGAGGGATTTTGATGTTTGGTATGACGATAGCTGGTTATCCGGATCAACATATAGGATACTTTAAACCGCGAGAAAATATCTCATTTCTGAGAAAAAAATACAAAAACTGCATTGTAAGAGTATACTAATATGTAAAACCGAAGAATTTGGTCTTATTCTTAGCTAACCTAAGAATTTGGAATTTCTTTGCAGTACGGAGTACCAGATCTGAATTTATGATACCAGATAAGAATTATATACCTGCGTTATTCCCAAGGTTTAAGTAATTTAACATTCTGTATTCAGCATAAAAAAGGAATAAAAACTTCTTGCATAAAAATTATAATTTAAAACTTGGCTAGTACTTGTTGGGTTTGCGCATCCTTGCGGTTCCTTGAAAATTACTTTACTTATAAGAAACGTAGAGTCGAACGTAGGAAGTGGATTTTTACCTGCTTTTTCATCCGACTGCCAAGGAAGTGTTATGTTTTTCGCGCGCATCTTGTATGTTTATAAATTTGTTTATTACCTCGTATCTTCCAAACGGTTGGCTAGATTATGGCAGTTAAGTATCGTTAGGTTCATCTCAAAAACCCAAGTGCCCTTAGATGGTGTTTTAAAGAAAATCAAAATGGAGGATTTTTGGTGCCAATTTATGTGTCTTTAAAAAAAATTTCATTCGAATCGCACACGGGCACACAGCCATGCAGTCGGAGACATACATATATGTACATATTTTCTAATAGCTGCGTGTGTATGTCTGCGACTGCATAATACTATGTTCCTTCGTCAACTTGTTCTCTTTTTTATAGTTCGCTTTTACTTTTGGCTTTTTTTTTATTTTAGTAAATATTTTTTTTTATTATCTTTGTATCGATTTAAAACTTTATATATGAGATACCGAAGACAGTACAATAATAGCATACATAAAATCTCTTTTGTTGCCTACAAAAATACCAAATTACATCAAAATCCATCTAGCTATTTCAACGTGCAGAAGTAACAGAAATACACATACACGAACAAATAAATATGAAAAATTATTACACTTATACTCAGATGATTTGATTTTTATTCCACGATTGGTTTTTATGTGAGGCTTTCAATATAATTACTGTTTTGAAATAACCTTTTGCAAAAATATCTCGACCTTTTCAACAATCCGAACCTTACCTAAAATGTTAATTTAATAATCTCAAATGTGGATAAGAATCTTTCAGAAACATAACAATGACAGTCTTCTACAAGTATGTCGTAGGCTCATAGTCTAAGATCCCGATCTATGTGGTAGACCCCTCTCCATCTTTTTTCAGGTGAAATATATTTTTTAAACCATAAAACATACTAAAAAACACGACCCAGGGGGTTGTCACCACCCTCCCAACGTGCGTTCACCTTGTCGTGGTGGGGGGACTCAGTAGTGTCCGGCAATCCAACCGGGCGCGAAGCTAAGAAACGCACAGGGAGGTTGCCCACTTCGGTGGGCGGTGGGAGGTGGCTCTCTTCGGGGGGCGGTGTACCTTGCGGGTTGCTCCTGGTACATCTCTGATAGCAGAGTGGACTGTGGAGCAACCCCATGGTTGTGGTGGTCTGCTTCGGCAGACCTGCCGTCGGGGCGTCGTAGTTGAATGCGTAAGCGATCCTGCGACGCCCCATTAAGACGGGGGAAGGTTTTGTTGGGTTTTAGTGGGTAGTACTGGCTGTATTACGCCGATGAGTCCCACACGTCGAGCGTAAATGCATTTCCCAACGTTAAAAAAAAAAATAAAAAATAAAGGGGGTTGTCACCAAGAATTTGCTCTAGGCTATTTAATTAAAAAATAATTTAACAGATTTTTTTTAAAGTGCAAAAACTCTTTTCCTGTGACAATTTAGAATCAAATGTAAAAGACATGTAGAAAATACCTATGGTGGCCTTTTTCGAATTCATTACCTGACATCCAGGTATAAACAAGTAAGTCTGTTCAATTAGTTAATTGCTCTTATTGTTTTCCGAACTAGCCAAGTATCTAAATATAGAAAATTTTATTAATGGTATAGAATTGTCATACCAAAACATCTCAAATATAAAATAGAAAAATTACTTGGAGGTGGGCGTTATTAGCAACAACACAGTTTTTAAC